TCAGCAAAATTAATAAAGTAATAGGATCCTGTTAATTCAAGAGCTTCTGTGGAACAACTACTATATTCAAGCCGCTGGCCGAGGAGGTGGGGATCCTGTGATAAGTAAGAGAAAAGTCATGCCCACGTGGAGTGTTCATTTTAAAAAGGAAGACAGACATTAGACTAGGTACCCAGTATATTATTTTGTTACAATTGTGATTATTCATAGGAAGAAAATTCACAGGATTTACTTCAACAGAAACAAACAAAAACAAAAAAGCTGTAAACTGAACTGATCTGAGCTTTAAAGAAAGCTCTTAGGAGAGGGTCCCTTTGGTTGATCTATGCTTACAAAGGGGACACTCCCAAAGAGTCGGAAACAACTGAGCAACTATCACTTGCACTTACAAAGGGGAAGGGATGGAGGAAAATGAGGATAAATACAAGTGATAGGAACACAGTGAAGGGGCAAAGTAGGTGTTTAAATAGTTAATCCCACTAGGGGATTATAAGTAGAAAAAATATGGGAGACCCCTGTAAGTTAACGATCACTCAAGAGAGCAGGTTTGCTAAACCATAAAACCAAGCAGGCTTGCTTAGCAACAAAACTGCAACAGAGGCACCAGACATGCCTCAAAACAGTAAACAACGGTGGCATGAGACCCACATCCTGCTCAGTGAGCTCAGTAAGTTGATGACCCCCAGGACATGTTCTTTGTATGCATGATAAACAATAATTTGTGGACGTAGCTTGACCATGAAGGGACAAAAGTACTCCCCTGCTCAACCTGGAGGAGGAGCTGATGATGGAAGCATTTCTAGTTAAGAAAACAAAGAATATCTTCTTCCCCTCCCCACTTCTCCTTTGATTATAAAACTGTAGCCAGAAAGTTCTCAGGGCATGGCAGTTCTCAACCACCTGCTTGGAAACCTCACAAAGGTCCTATTCTAATAAATCACCTCTTATCTATCACTTTGCTCTTGCTGCGTTCCTGTCTGCACTGAGATATAAAGGACTATGGCACCGGAGCTCTTTGGAGTCCCTTTAAGGATACGGAACTATTTCACAAGTTGAGGGAGTAAAACTAGATGAATACTGTGTATATAGTGATGACAGTAAGTAGCTCAAAAATGACCCGTAACAAAACAATTATCCACAGAGAAACGATTTAGAAAGACTTGCTAATATTTAAGATTGGCTCCAAGAGAGACTTAAGATAGTGACCCACATTTCAGAGATAATGTGCTCTCCAGAAATGAATGCCTTCCAGTATTTTTAGAACAGATAGCCTTCACAATTTTATATCCCTGGAGTTGACCAGGGGTCAGAATTATCTATGCTCACTCCCAAAACAAAAATGAAGAGTTCTGGAGACGGCTTCTTTTTGTGTTATTGATGCAGTCCCTCTTAATAGCCGGACAGTCAGCTAACAAGAGGTAAGACCCATCTGGGGATTCAAGATTGGTCAGCATAAAGGTGAGATGACTGCCTGGCGGGCTACAGTTCATAGGGTCACAGAGAGACAGACACGACTGAAGTGATCGCGCGCACACCTAACTGCAAAGTAATGCTGAAAACAGAGCATTTTCCTCTAATTTCCTGTCCGAGACAGAGAAGGGTTATTGAAGTTTTAGAATGAGCAAGTGCATGCTTTGAGTGGGTCTCCAGGGTGCTCAAGCATAAGCTGCATCACCCAGACACGTGTTAAGAGTGGGGTGATTGCCAAACCATGCACCATGGAAAAGAAGAGAGAACCACCATGTCAGCTCCCCAGCCAGCGATCATGTCAGAAAGGGAGTGGGAGCAGGTGAAACAGCAAATCTAAACGTGAATCAGAAGCTGCACCTCCTTCTGTATAGTTGCTAAGTCGTGTCTGACTCTTTGCAACCCCATGGACTGTAGCCTGCCAGGCTCCCCTGTCCGTGGGATCCTCCAGGCAAGAATACTGGAGTGGGTTGCCATTTTCTCTTCCAGGTACCTCCTTACAGAAATACAGAGAAAATATTTTGGAGAGATGCTCCAAAGATTGTAAAGAAAACCAGTTTACTGACTGGGGCTAAGATTTTCCTGAGACAGAACTTAAATTCATATACCTTAAGCTTTTATTGAGAAATTATTTGTTTGGAGTGTTATGCTAAACATTATGGGGGCCTAACAAATTCTGCTTTATAGAAGTCTGCACTTTCATAAATGCAAGATTTGGTGCCAAAGCTGCTCAGCAGAAAGAAAATCAGCACAAGAGAAGATGGATGGATGGAAGGAGAGAAGGAAGGAAAAGATATTCTAAAGCACCATATACAAAGGGAAGGGTTAAATTTTTTCTGTGGGTCTATAGCTTGTGAAATCTTAAGTGAAACATTATTTTCTTCTTATTTTCTACCCCCTGTGAATTGTTTGCTTGACATTCAAGACAGACTGTTTCACACTCTAAAATGAAGGCTATTTTTGTTTTGTTTTCTTCTGAAAGTCTATTGGGTAGTTTTCATCAAGGAGTCTTCATGGAAGTTTTAATATGTATAAAAGAGGATCTTACTTTAAATAACCATGGAGTGAACCAACCACTGACCCAAAAGCAGGAAAGAAGAAAGAAAAGGTTTAAAAATGATGGACCAGAAATAGCAGACAGCAAGGGCTGCACTACTTTCAAAAGACACGCAGAGAAAGCAATTTAAAATCATCTGCAAAGAGACTGACATGATTAAATTTTTTAATAATGCAAATTTGTTGTTGTTGTTTACTCGCTGAGTCATGTCCGACTCTTTGCAACCCCATGGACTATAGTCCACCAGGCTCCTGTGTCCATGGGATTCTCCAGGCAAGACTGGAGTGGGTTGCCCTTTCCTTCTGGGATCTTCCAATCCAGGGATTGAACCCGCATCTCCTGCATTGGCAGGCAGATTCTTTACCTCTAAGTCACCAGAGAAGCCCAATGCAAATAACAAATGTTAAAACTCCTTCAGAGCCACATTTTAGACTTGGGAAGGGGTTTTAGAAATCTTCCTATATAACCGCCTTGTTATAACAGGCTGAAAAACTCTGAGGTTCAAGATAAGTCCAGAATCTTGGCATGGTTGGACATTACTTGGTGGTGGTTATTGTTACCATTTAATGGCAGGGCTGGAATTAGTAACCAGGTGGCCTGACTCCCAGTCTATTCATTGCTTTTTTCAACCTAACATCCTCATTCCACTTCAAATTAATTTACCTGTTACAACACACTTAAAAAAAAGTTTTACATGTTTATTCTAATATAGATTAATAAATTTTTCTAAAACATGCAGGTACTCTGCTCAACAGTGGTTCCCAAACTTAACTTTGTAGACAGGTTACCTGGAGAACTGTTAAAGCAGACCTAGCTGGGCCTCCATCCAGGAGCATTTACTAAGTTCTAAGGTGATGCTGAGGTTGTAGTCCATTTTTGTTTTAATAAAGTTTTAAAAATTATTTATTTATTTGGCTACACTGGGTAGCAGCTGCAGCACACATCCACATTTTTATTAGCACTTTTCTGAGCAATGGTCCTAGGAGACAGACAGTAGTTACAGGAAACGATTCTGGAAAGTCGGATGAGAACAACTGACAATTTTCAATCAGAGAACAACGTGAGACTAACTACCAGTTAGTAAAGAATCCGCCAGCAATGCGGGAGACCTGGGTTCACTCCCTGGGTTGGGAAGCTCTGCTGAAGGGAACAGCTACCCACTCCAGTATTCTTGACTGGAGAATCCCATGGACAGAGGAGCCTGGCGGGCTACAGTCCATGGGGTTGCAAAGAGTTGGACACAACTGAGCGACTAATCAGAGCACAGCTTAGCAGGTGTTAGCTCCATCACCATTCAGAGGTGTAATCAGTAGCCTCTTTCCAGGCCACATAGGCCTTTACAAACACTCCTCTCTGCCCACAGCCTCTTCCTACGCCTTGCCTGGCACACTCCCCACCCCAGCCTTACTCCTGGTGTCTTTCAGATTGTCATGGGAACTCCTTCCCCATCTTCTCCTTGTATCCTGTATCTCTGTCTCACTGAACTGTAACTGTGAGTGATGCTTTGAAGGCTCACTTCCCTTCAAAGACTTTAAACATCTTGAGGCAATAATCTACATTTTCAGCACTTTGAGCCTAGCACAGCAACAGGTACAGAAATAACATCTGTTGAATGAATGCTTTTATCAATGAGGATAACTTGAGAGAAAAAAAAATATAATATCCATATGATAGAACTAGTTCTCTGTGAGTGAAATGCATGGTTCTCAGTTATATGTTTATTATCTATCTATCCACCCATCCATCCATTTTATCCTTAGTAAGCCTATAAATAAAATGAAAACTTGTGTCAAAAAAAAAATCATGTGAACATGTGTAAATGTAATTTCACCTGATACAAAACCTTTCATGCAAGTATTCCTCAAGTACTACCCAAAAGTTTAGCACCATTGATGATAATACATTTATTTATTGCTGTATGATCTCCTCTAGAGATGGGATTTTACAGTGTACCATCTCCTCTAGAGTCTAGGATTTTACAACGGGGCGGAGGGGGAACCTTTGATAAAACCTGAGGTCCTTCTAACCACATCCACTCTGGTAGGAATCAGACACCGAATTTATTTGATTACACTCCTGGCTGGACCTAAGAACCTTACAGTGTACTCGCTTCCATTTTAAGAACTCTAATTTTTGAAATTTTGTCTGTATTAAATATATGTCTGTTATGTTTTCTGGACTTGTATGGAATAAATATGATTCTTTTTCATATCAGTACCTCAGATTCCTAAAGATAGTCATCATGGTCTATCCAGCATGTTTTCTTTAGTCAAAAAAGGAATAGGAAAAAAAGAAAGAAAGAAACTGTGTTATTTGCATTTTTTAAGAAATACTTATCCAGTACATTTACTAATTCAAATACAACTATATGTTTACTGTATATATCACCATTTAGATACATATCAGAATATTATCTCATCCAGAAGGGATATATGGGAGTGTGCAAATCAACTCTGAACTAAAAATACAAATAAGTATGAATGATACACGCTCATTAAGAGAACTTCACTTGATTTCTGTGTTATCCTATTTCAATTTCCAATTTTACAAGCTTTTTGGTCACTGGTAGTGTCCCTGATTCCACGCTTCTCACTCACAGACTATATTCACCTGAACATTGGGAGTAGCAGCAGAAGAAAGTCTGAAGGGGCCATCTGCCATCCAGTCCTAGAGTCGTCCTTAATTTTGTTTCATGGTGACACTCCTGCCTGGTTAAAGACACAGCTGACAGACCTCCCTTCCACTTGAAGTCTCCATGTCTGATAAAAAATGGGATACTTCAGTTTATGCAGCTGTTCACCAGCTAATTATCTGCAATCATTTCTGATTACTTAATAGGCCATGGTAGGATGTGTGTTTGCTGCTATGCAGAGTTTACACATTAGGTTTTAATGCGCTGATATAGTTAATTGTTTTGCTCACTGCTGCCTGTTAATAGACCATTCCTGAAAATGAGACCATATCTCAGTGGAATTCGGTTGTTTATTTTAAATAAGTAATAACTACAAACTCAGATCCTAGACCCAGTGTTTACCATTTTAAGAACACACTTTTTAAAACTGCTGTATCATTCCTAATGTGTTCAAATTATTCAAGTTTGGAGAAAACGAGTTATTAAACTAATGAGTCCATAACTGACTCAAATACTTAGATTTAACATTTTTCCTGCTCTGCTCAGTTTCCTAAATTGTTTTCTGTTATTGATAGCAAAATAAATTCTTTTTAAATGGAGCCAAAAACTGAGTGTAATAATATGAGAAAGATATATGCATATTAAAAGCAGATGAATATTTATTAATATGTAAATGAATATGCCATGGCTAAAGATTGGAATGAGAGAGATGTACATTAGGTGTGGAACTGTTCTAATGAGACTGCTCCTTTGTTTTGCAGTTTTGCATTTTATGATAGCATTTAGTACAAAAAGCTAGTGCTCAGCTTTAAAAATTTACAAAGCTCTTCTTTTGTTAACTGTCTATATATTTGTGTTTCTGAAAGCTAAAAATGGAGGCTTAGTGTCCACATAGATGTTTTGGGCCTTGCTCTTTGTATTTTCTTTTCTGTTGACAAGATTTTTTTCCTACCATCATTGTTTCATTTCATCTCTTTTAACTTCCTGTTATTTTTTCCCCTCCTTCAGCCAATAGTATTTGAATAATAAACAGAAAATTTTTCAATCCTAAAACCCTTGGACTCTTGGAGTTTCTCAACTCTAAAACTCTTGGAAGAGGTTGTTATTAGCCCCACCATAGAGCCACCAAGCAAATGACCCACAAACTGGAAAACAATGAAACCAAAGAAGTTTTCACACTGTCACAAAAGTTCTAGGACCAAAAACAGATTTCTCAACCTGGGGATCTAGCAAAGGGACTTAGAACACCCAGGGAATTTGACTTTGAAGTCCAGTGGGACTTGATTAGAGAACTTGCACAGGACTGGGGAACAGACACTTGGAGGGCACAAACAAAACTTTGAATGCACCAGGACCCAGGAGAATGGAGCAGTGATCCCACAAGGGGCTGAGCCAGACTTGTCTGTGAATGTCCAGGAGTCTCCAGCAGCCTGCCGTGGGGTCGGGCCACTGAATACAGCAGTGCCATGAGCAGTGGAGTGCTGGCGAAAGTCCTCTTCAGGGAGGCTGCCATTACCCCAACCGTCCTTTGGCCTGAGGCCAAACTACAGGGAGGCAACACAGCCCCAGCCATCAACAGAAACTTGGATTATAGATTTACTGAGTAAATTTAAAAATACCTGGTGTAACAGGAAAATTTGGCCTTGGAGTACAGAATGAAGCAGGGCAAAGGTTAATAGAGTTTTGCCAAGAGAATGCAAACACCCTCTTCCAACCACACAAGAGAAGACTCTACACATAGACATCACCAGATGGTCAACACTGAAATCAGATTGATTATATTCTTTGCAGCCAAAGATGGAGAAGCACTATACAGTCAACAAAAACAAGACTGGGAGCTGACTGTGGCTCATATCATGAACTCCCTATTGCCAAATTCAAACTTAAATGGAAGAAAGTAGGGAAAACCATTAGACCATTCAGGTCTGACCTAAATCAAATCCCTTATAATTATACAGTAGAAGTGACAAATAGATTCAAGGGATGAGATCTGATAGAGTGCCTGAAGAACTATGGAGGGAGGCTCTTAACAGTGTATAGGAGGTTGTGATCAAAAATATCCCCAAGGAAAAAAAAGGCAAAATGGTTGCCTGAGGAGTCTTACAAATAGCTGTGAAAAGAAGAGAAGTGAAAGGCAAAGGAGAAAAGGAAAGATATATCTATCTGAATTCAGAGTTCTGAAGAATAGCAAGGAGAGATAAGAAAGCCTTCCTTAGTGAACAATGCAAAGAAATAGAGGAGATCAATAGACTGGGAAAGACTAGAGATCTCTTCAAGAAAATTAGAGATAGCAAGGGAACAGTTCATGCAAAGATGGGCACAATAAAGGACAGAAACTGTATAGACCTAACAGAAGCAGAAGCTATTAAGAGGTGGCAAGAATACACAGAAGAACTATACAAAAGACATCTTAGTGACCCAGATAACCATAACAGTGTGATCACTCACCTAGAGCCAGACATGCTGGAGTATGAAGTCAAGTGGGCCTTAGGAAGCATCACTAGGAACAAAGCTAGTGGAGATGATGGAATTCCAGTTGAGCTATTTCAAATCCTAAAATATGATGCTGTGAAAGTGTTGCACTCAATATGCCAGCAAATTTGGAAAACTAAGCAGTGGCCACAGGACTGGAAAATTTCAGTTTTCATTCAAATTCCAAAGAAGGGCAATGCCAGGTAATGTTCAAACTACCATACAACTGCACTCATCTCACACGTTAGCAAAGGAATGCTCTAAGTTCTTCAAGCCAGGCTTCAGCAATATGTGAACTTCAGATGTTCAGATGAGAACTTCAGATGTTCAAGCTGGATTTAGAAAAGGCAGAGCAACCAGAGATCAAACTTCCAACATCCATTGGATCATAGAAAAAGCAAGAGAATTCTACAAAAACATCTATTTGTGCTTCATTGACTATGCTAAAGTCTTTGATGGCATGGATCACAACAGACTGTGGAAAATTCTTAAAGAGACTGTAATACCAGATGACCTTACTTGCCTCCTGAGAAATCTGTATGCAGGTCAAGAAGCAACAGTTAGAACCAGACATGGAGCAATGGACTGGTTCTAAATCAGGAAAGGAGTATGTCAAGGCTGTATATTGTTACACTGCTTACTTAACGTCTATGCAGAGTATACCGTGAGAAATGCCAGACTGGATGAAGCACAAGCTAGAGTCAAGATTGCCAGGGGAAATATCAACAACCTCACATACAAAGATGACACCACCCTTATGGCAGAAAGCAAAGAGGAATTAAAGAGCTTCTTGATGAAAGTGAAAGAGGAGAGTGAAAAAGTTGTCTTAAAACTCAACATTCAAAAAACCAAGATCATGGAATCTGGTCCCATCCCTTCATGGCAAATATTTGGGGAAACAATTGAAACATTGAGAGACTTTATTTTCTTGGACCCCAAAATCACTGCAGATGGTTACTGAAGTCATGAAATTAAAAGACACTTGCTCCTTGGAAGAAAAGCTATGACCACGTAGACAGCATATTAAAAAGCAGAGACATTACTTTGCCAACAGAGATTTGTCTAGTTGGAGCTATGGTTTTTCCAGTAGTCATGTATGGATGTGAGACTTGAACCACAAAGAAAGCTGTGTGCTGAATAATTGATGCTTTTGAACTGTGGTGTTGGAGAAGCCTCTTGAGAATCCCTTGGTGAGCCAGGACTTCGAACCAGGCAACCCTAAAGGAGATCAGTCCTGAGTGTTCATTGGAAGGACTGATGCTGAAGCTGAAGCTCCAATACTTTGGCCACCTGATGTGAAGAGCTGACTCATTTCAAAAGACCCCGATGCCTGGAAAGATTGAGGGCAGGAGAAGGGATGACAGAGGATAAGATGGTTGGATGGCATTACCGACTCAATGCACATGAGTTTGAGTAGGTTCCAGGAGTTGGTGATGGGCAGGGAAGCCTGGAATGCTGCAGTCCATGGGGTTGCAAAGTGTCAGACAGGACTGAGCAACTGAAATGCACTGAACTGAAAACCCTTGGCTTTTATTCTGTGACTTCCAAGGACAATAAGGTTCACCCACTTTCTGTGTTTGGGGGCCTTGTTCTGCCTTGTGAGGCATTGGATTCACCTGCTTAAAAATGGATTACTGCAACTAGGACCCTCAGTACTACTTGGATTCATCACTCTGGTTGACCTGATAACCTGCTTTCCCAGTGTTTCCATGCACTCAAAGCCATTATCTCTTTGCAGTCATAGAAACAGGCCCTGCAGGCTATTGTAATTAAGTTTTGGACTCACTGCTAGGATATATGACTTCTGTCTAGAATAAAGGATGCCTGCATTACCGAGAACACTTGGCTCTCCCTATTCTTCATGAATGACGGCTTTTCATATTTCTTTCACACATTTCAATCCTAAATTTCTGACGTGTCATTGAAAACATAAAACTCAGCCCAGCACCTTCTTCCTGAAAATTTCTTATGAGGTTCCAGACTCCATTTCCGACACAGCACACCTCCTCCTGCTCCCACACTTCCCTCACCCATGTCCCCTCCATCCTGAGTCCTGCCCTGCCAGTGAAACCCACATCCTTCTCTGAGGCTACTACCCCTGCTACATCCTTCCCCTCTGGGACCTCCCACAATAATAGCTGTGATGGGAGGAGGGGGAAGATTAATGAAGATAATAAAATGAACTCTCCGGTTCTGATGGCCAGGGACTGTGCTCAGCGCTTCACAGGGATATAGCACTTTATCATTGAAACAGTGTTGGAGACAGCACAGACAGCACCAACATCACCACCACCACCTAACAGGTGAGGTAAGTTAAGACTCAGTACATAGTATCCCAATCCTAATCTACAGTTTAGTTCACTCACTCAGTCATTTCCAACTCTGTGACCCCATGGACTACAGCACGCCATGCCTCCCTGTCCATCACCAACTCCCTGAGCTTGCTCAAATTCATGTCCATTGAGTCTGTGATGCTATCTAACCATCCCTTCCTCTGTCGTCCCCTTCTCCTCCCACCTTCAATCTTTCCCAGCATCAGGGTATTTTCCAACGAGTCAGCTCTTTGCATCAGGTAACCAAAGTACTGGAGTTTCAGCTTCAGCCATCAGTTCTTCCAAAGAATATTCTGGACTGATTTCCTTTAGGATTGACTAGTCTGATCTCCTTGCAGTCCAAGGGACTTTCAAGAGTCTTCTCCAACACCATAGTTCAAAAGCATTAATTCTTTAGCACTCAGATTTATGGTCAAGCTCTGATATCCATACGTGACTACTGGAAAAACCATAGCTTTGACCATACAGACCTTTGTTGGCAAAGTAACATCTTTGCTTTTTAATATGCTGCTTAGGTTTGTCATAGCCCTTCTTCCAATGAGCAAGGGTCAGGGGTGTGACCGGCCTTTGAACTAGCAGTCTGATTTAAGAACTCAATTGTTTTCTAGCATCTAGCAACTAAACACTGTACCTACCACATTGCACAGCACTGGCAGAATAGATTCCTTTTCTCCTTTGCTCAGAAGGCCCTCTGATTGGATCATTAACCCAGCTGGGTCCTGATGTGCACTGGCTTGCTCTTCTGCCATGAGCTCCCTAAGGGGAGAGAGTGACTTTTATATCTTTGGAACAAAGACCTGGCCCATCTTAGGAACTCCACTTGTAGCAGTGAAATGGAGTGAATTCATCTGTTACATATTTCCCCTGTTTTTGCCTTCATAGTCCCTACAATCCTGCCAAACAGGATTCTTTGCTATTCCCCACACGTTCCGTTCCCTGTGCTCTGGGCTGTATTTACTGAGATGCCTTTGTACATATGCAGATCTTCACCGAAGTGAAATTCCAGCAGCCATCTGTCCTGAGGTTTGTCCACTCCTTAGTCAGGTGTGGGCTCCCTGCTTGCTCCCGTCTGTCCACACTTTGCTTGAAGAACTACATCCCTCATCATCTCTATTTCACTTAGGCATTGGCGAGATCTACTTTAAAAATACGTATCATTGAAGTTTTCACATAGGGGGAGCTCAGTAGGGATTAACTGAATTAAAAGCTAAGAAATAATTTAAACTGGTTGACTTGGTTTCCTGAAAAAGGAAGAGGTTCAAACTCATGAAGCACTGTGAGGGGTACTCACATTTTTTTCATCTCTATATGTTATGAAACATGAGATAGCAATAACAAAGCCTTATTTTGATGGCCTCTTTACTTTTCAACGAATATATGCTCTTTGATTAGTCTTTGATTGCCTGTCTGTGTGTAAGCAAATTTCTATAAAAAGCCAATTTTTTTTCATTTAACTTACTAGAAAGATTTAACAGCTTTTAGACACCAAGGAATTTCTCTTTTATAATAAACCAGTGACACTCTTTTCAATGACATTTGAGTGCATTCATGTTTGAATAGTGGTAAGAAGGTTAAAAACATTCCAACAGAGTGACATGATATTAGACCTTAATCTATTAGGTTCAACAAATGTTTACCAAGTTTCTACTGTGTACAGGCACAATCCTTGGTAAGATTCTGTGAAGAACAAAGAAGGATTACACGCAAGCCTTTAGGTGAACATCAGGAAATCCAGACAGGACAAGTTATACAACACAAGGCAAACCCTAGCATACGCTCCAGAAGAAATGTAAAATGCTGAAAAGATGTACAAAGAAAAAGGAGGTTAAATTTTTTGGAAACTCATTAGAACATTTGTTCTTTCATTCCACACAACAACTTGCTAATAATGGTAGTCTAGAATATGTGATTGTGGGTACAAATAATAGATTATAAAATTAATAGAAATTAAATTTTAAAAGTAATAGAAAGTAATAGGTTTAAAATAAATTTATATAAATTTTTAACATGACAAATTTTAGAGGAAAAAATGACCATAATTTTATTAGCATCCCACAATTATTTTCATCTGTATATGTTAGATATTTGTATTTACCAATGACATACAGTTCTGGATACAGCCACTTTAATTCATGGAGAGGAAAGAAACATATCCGTGTGTTTTAGCACTACGCAAACTTCAAATTACAGCCTGTGTGACACACATTTCTGAGTTAACCTATAGCAAGCCAGCTTTCTTAAACTAGAAAATTAGAAATAATGGGAACAAATTTCATGGGGCAGTTAAGAGGATTAGATGAAATAATCTATGGAAAGCGACAACAGCTGTCACCACATAAAAGTTCAGAAACAGCAGCTCTTAAAAGCATCATTTTACCTTCTATCTCATTTTTGGCTTTCCCTGAATTATGAAAAGCCTTTATATTCACAGGATAGTGGTCTGAAATATCAAGAAATAGGCAGATAAACTCCAAAGGGATGAACAGTAGCAGACCACACAGCAGCTTCCAAAGGTGCAGCACAATGATGCACCAATGTAGGATCTGAAGGCTGACCATCTGGTTCTGGCTTGGGTGCTGTGGGAACCCACACTGTTGATGGGGATAACAAAAATACCAGTTCTCTTCACCCGGTGACATAAGGAGATGCAGGTGCAGTGGCTCCTGCCCTCCCCTCTCTGAACAAGATGTCCTAGAAACACCAGACAGCCTAGGGATCACCTCATGTGCCTGCAGACAGCACCAGGCAGCTCGATGAAGACACACAGCAAGTCCATAATAAAGCAGGCCAGAACTGGACTGCAATGGCTCTGAAAATTAATCTGCCTTTGGGAATAAAGCCCAAATTTTAAGTCAGAAACTAGACACTCTGCTAAACAAAATGACTGCATATTCTATTTACAGAAGACCGAGTCTCCTAACATAATAACCAAACATTAAAGAGTATCCAAACATTAACAGCCAAATACTTTTTATACAATTGAAAAACCATCTGTTTCTGTTCTGAACTGGAAAACATACATCTGAAGGAGAAAAGACGCTCAGCTGACAGACTTCAGTTCAGTCACTCAGTTAAGTCCGACTCTTCGCAACCCCATGAACTGCAGCACACCAGGCCTCCCTGTTCATCACCAACTCCTGGAGTCTATCCAAACCCATGTCANTCCAGCCCAGCATTTCTCATGATGTACTCTGCATGTAAGTTAAATAAATAAGCAGAGTGACGATATAAAGCCTTGACGTACTCCTTTTCCTATTTGGAAACAGTCTGTTGTTCCACGTCCAGTTCTAACTGTTGCTTCCTGACCTGCATACAGGTTTCTCAAGAGTCAGGTCAGGTGGTCTGGTATTCCCATCTGTTTCAGAATTTTCCACAGTTTATTGTGATCCACCTAGTCAAAGACTTTGGCAAAGTCAATAAAGCAGAAATAGATGTTTTTCTGGAAGTCTCTTGCTTTTTTGATGATCCAGCAGATGTTGGCAATGGGATCTCTGGTTCCGAGATATTAGGATAAATCAAGTATTGGAATAATATGACAAAGAGTTTAGAGCAGACGCCATAAATGTGCTTCTGAAATCAATTATAAATTATCTTGAAACCAATGGGAAAAAAAGGAAAAATCTCCATAAAGAAACAGAAATCATAAAAAGAGAAACAGGTAGAAATTACAGGAATGAATAAAATATATAACTGAAATAAAAAATTTAGCTGGATGTTCTCAACAATAGAGTGAAGATCAAAAACAATAATCAGTGAACTTGGAGACAGATGAATAGGATTTACCCAGTTTGAATGAGAGTGGGAGAAATAAACAGAGTCCAGGAGTCTGCAGGATAATAATAATGATCTAATATTTGCATCATCAGAATCTCAGAAAGAAGAGTGTGAACTAAAAAAGTACTCAGAGAAACAGTGGTTGAAAATTTCCGAAGTCTGATAATAGATATCACACACACACAAATATCAGTCAGTTCAGTTCAGTCACTCAGTAATGTCCAACTCTTTGCGACCCCATGAATCTCGGCATGCCAGGCCTCCCTGTCCATCATAAACTCCTGGAGTTCACTCAAACTCATGCCCATCAAGTCAGTGATGCCATCCAGCCATCTCATCCTCTGTTGTCCCCTTATTCTCCTGCCCCTAATCCCTCCAAGCATCAGGTCTTTTCCAATGAGTCAACTCTTCACATGAGGTAGCCAAAGTATTGGAGTTTCAGCTTCAGCATCAGTCCTTCCAATGAACACCCAGGACTTAACTCCTTCAGGATGGACTAGTTGGATCTCCTTGCAGTCCAAGGGACTCTCAAGAGTCTTCTCCAACACAAACATACACTTTTCATAATTAGTGTTAATATGAAACTATTTCACACAAAATGTAGAAAACTTGCAACTAAATAGCTCCTTTGATCTTTCTCTTTAGGCTATAGCTGTCATGTCTACAAACATTATAAATCTTACAAGATTATATTTTTGCTTTACAAAATCCCTTGTAATATAATGAAAGTAAGAGACAAAGTAATACATCTTGGTCATCTTGGAGGTCTTGGGTGCTAAGTCTTTTCTCTGAATCTGGGTCCCATTATTCTGGATCTTCTTATGCTATATAATTCCTGATGGAATAGTGAATGTGTATAAGATGTGGCGGACTCTGGATTTGGTATATTCCTCTGGAGAGTGTTGACTCTTGTCTAAGGCAATTGATTTCATTGGATTCAAATTGCAAATTCTCGTGGGTGGTAGATAAAATCTTGGTTCAGTTGGTGTATCTTTAGTTGCCCTATACATGAATGTTTTTCAGGGGTCATTCAAGGTCATGGGCAGTTTAAACACAGAACTTAGGGCTCCTCATCTCAAAATGCCTTCTGAGATTTCCCCTTCTCAGGAGTTGTGGTTGCCCAGACCGCCTGCTGGCTCTTCAAGACAGAAAGATAGTGGGTTGAAACTGACTTTGTCCTACTCTCAGGATAAACACTGTAAAAAATGGGAAGTTACCTCCTGCTGGTCTCTTCCTCCAAATTTCACAGTCCTCTAGAAGTTGTCTCCTTTTGTTCACACTCCAGAATGGTTTTTTCCAGAATCTAGAGCTGGGTTCAGGTGGAGCTTACCCCTCAATGGAAGCAGAAACCTCCTTGAGATTTTGATGGGAAATTTCTTTAAAACTCACAATTAAGTTTGGAAGAATGACACTTTTAAAACATCCATCCTTTTCAATCAAGGTGCTGCTTGGCCTAGAAACATTTCTTTGAAGTGTCAGTAAAATTTTCTTCATTTAAATCTTGCACATTTCTTAGAAAATAATCTCTAAATTTATTGTTTCATTTGCCTATATTTCCTCATAATTAATTTGCTGATTTTTGGGACTAGAATTTATGGAATCCTGGTTTGCAATAGGCCTTTCCCCTTGTTGTTGTATAATCAACATGTAGCTACTTTCTGAATGCACACCTGTGTGCTTCACATCAGTCACTAACACCATCAGTGGCCTGGTGGAGCTCTATAATTACCCTGTTGAGTGATTAAGATCACTGATCTTAGGTTGGTTCTGTGTCTCTTCATTGTAAAGTTTCAAGCACATGGTGATGAAATATGCTCTTTCCTTGTTGGTAATTTTGTATGCTGTTAACCTCTAGAGTGCTGCAGGGGCTATTTGGTTTTAGAAGGGGAGTGAGGTTCCAGCCATCTTCCATGCTATCCTTTAAAATAGACTGAACCAGCTCTGAATGGAATTTTCCATAAACATGCAGAAATGCATTGAGATTAATATTTTCTTTTCTTTTGAGAAATAATCACACCTAGACTAAGAGGGGAGTTAAAATAAAACTAGAAATTAAAAAATAATAGCACATTAAGCTTTTGAAATGAACTTAAGCAATTAATTACCAGATATTAAATCAAGAGCAGAAAAGTTTAAATCAACTTCTTTTAAGATATACAGATGACTTCTTCTTTTTTTAAATGTTACTTTTATATTCTGAATCCCCATAGCTTTTCATGAAAATGCGTTTGAAGTTATACATGTGTTCAGCATGTCTCTGGCATCTTGAGGAACTTGATATTTGTTGAATAGAATTTTAAAAAAAGAAAATATTTTCTATAAAGATCATCCCATTTCTTACATTTCACTTAGGAAAACAAGAAGTTCCTTTAATCATATATCATGAATAGTGGTGATACATGAGAAATTATTCATCACAGACAGAATACTGCATTATCTTATTGAACTGCACACTCCTCTCCTCAAAGAAAAAAAAAAAAATCACTGCCTCCTTAAAGTTAAAACAGACCAAGAGCATATTAAAAATACTTTATTGTCATAGCTAAATAGGTTAAATATACATTATAAATGGAATGTACACAGCCGCTGAATGGAAAGATGGCACACTTATTACAGAAACTTAGCATCCTGGAATAATGTTTATTCCTGGCCCATTTTGGGCCCACTGGAAAAAATTGCACTGTTTTTCCTTCCCAAGAGGGCACACAAAAAAATTCTTTCCATTATTTGGTCCAATTTTCAACACTGTTCTCATGATGGTGCGTTTGCCATGGTTGCAGAATGGGAAGGACAAATCCGCCCACTGGAGAGAAACAGATTGTAAAGTTTAGATGGAGGTAGACAGATGAGATGTATTTGATTAGTACCTTGTTGTTTCCACTCCTTTTCCTATTAATCTGACATTGTAAGATACATGTAAGTCATTAGTTATTGCCCTTAAAAAACCTTATATCCTATAAGTAGCTTCTCCAACAAATTTGCCTGAACCACACGAGAAGTTGTCATAATTATAAGTGTCCTTCTTCCAAAGGCTTAATTATAGGATACTTACAAGAATAAAGTTCCTTCACTTTATTGAAAATCTCACTGTAAAGCAAATCAGCAATGTTCCTGCTATAGATCTGTTTCAGTTAAAGCTATTAAGATCAAAGATTTGTTATGACTTTAATACTGAACTTTCTTACTCTCTTAGGAAAAGAATCCAATACAGAATTACCCAGACTAATTACTACCAGATTGCACTGTATTATTCTTATCCTTATTAATTTTGGCCTCAAGAGAGTTACCAAGAAGGCTGTGATATTAATATTGCTAATAATATTTTCTCCAATAATCCTATACGAGCTTCTTGGGGAGATGTGTAAGTTGAGTAGGATGGAGTCACATCTTGGGAAGGGGCGAGGCTCTGAAATCAAAATCATAGCTTCCCTGGGGAATTCCTTAGGGATTTCTAAGGAATCCCTGAAGACAGATTATTTCTCTCTCAGTAAGCCCAACCAGAAAACTTCTGCTCCAGCACTGAAACAGATTCATATTTTCTTTTTCCAGCTTTTCATCAGATAAAGCAGTTGGGGAGAATATGTATCTTTAAGCCTTAGGATGACAGTCAGCAGAGTGAGGCTCACAATGAGGAAGGAAGCAAGACTGACCTAAAGGACCCAGGTTCCTGTCTTCTGTCTCATAGTCATTGGGAGGGACAAACAGACTGAAAGGCTGGGGAATCACTTACATCTAAACTGTTACTGTGTCATCACTTTATTTGGCTAAGCCTGTGTAGTAGGATTCGCCAAGCTTATTGTAAATCCAGGGCATGTAAATTAGTTTCCCAGGTACCTCTACTCAATGCATAAACCAAAGGTCTGGATGTCACTCTGAAGTCAGGAAGAGCAAATATCTATCTTGGATTATCAGTCCCTGGTAAGTGACTTTATTACTTTTCTCTGTAAACCAAGGGACACTTCTACCTGTACTGGTGGTTACAAATATACTCTAATAATGGAACAGCTGTCATTTGATTAATTTTTCTTTTGGAGATGAACACCTTTGAATTTTAACACCACCAGTATAGCTTTTTTAAAGATAAAACAAGAAAAGGACAGATATTTGCTACATTTTAGTGGCCCTAAGTTTTCAATGACATAAACATTAAGCTTGATGAATCATACACGTACTTCAAAAAATCCACACTGTGCTTCTCTCGGTAGAGGACAAGCATAGAAGTGCCTGCCCTTGTTTTCTCCACCCTTCCTCACCACTCGGAGAGCGCAGGGGCGGCCGTGTTTACTGCAGCGGGGACTGCCGGCATTTAACGAGCAAGGACCATCTGTCAAATTGTTTTGAAGTTCACTGTAATGACAAGTTACAAAATAACTGCAGCACGACAGTGCTAAAAGGGATCATTCACACCACCTCACCTCCACATTAGAATCCTGCCTGTACAGAGAAATGGTGCCAAAAAGGGACCGTGGTCAACTTCACGTAATTACACACACTCCTACATCATTCTAATTCTTGGTTTTCCCAGGTAATTCTAATTTACTTATGAGGGTACCTATTTATGTAAATTTAATTTAAATTAAACATATAATTTAAATTTCTCAAGAATAAAAACAGCTGACTTGCACATCCAATCTTCTTAGTTTTCATTTGTGACATTTGGTTCTTTTCTTACCCAACATGACTGGGTGGCCACTTTTATTTCCCCTAAAATATTCTCAAGTCTTAACAGCCCCCTGACCCCCAAACGAACAAGTCACAATCTTCTCTAATTATTTTCTCATGGGTAGCAGACTGTCATCAATGGCTCTGACAAGGCCAAAGAGATCACTTTTTCTACTGCCCACTCTAAAGATAATTTTCTATGCTTTGCTTTGATCAAGGCTACATAATAGTTGCAATCATATTTCAGCAGGCTGCCACCAGAGCAGAAACATGTATTCTGTAAAGCTAGCAAGGAAGCTTTATTCTTCCCCATGATTAGATCAAGAGCGGCTGGAGGTTATCCCTGCATACAGTGTATAAAGGTCAGAAGCTGGCCTTCCACTGTATGTGGAATTTTCTCTTCAAAAATTAACTTCATGATTTAATTTTTTATACTTTGCATATTTTTAATAATGCCTTTATAATGGTCTTTTTAATAAACCAATTGAAGAGAAAAAGAGCCCTTATTAAAACCAGAAGCCCTTCCCCTAATAGCCCAATTTTTAATTTTTAAATGATAAAGTTCTTTCTTTCTTTTGTTAATTTCTGAAGAACAAAATACCATTCTCAAGTGATTTTTTAAAAAAATACTTATAAATCCTAAACTATAAGCTTCACATACTCGTTCCTATAGTTTCTAAAGGCATCATATCTAATCAAAATGTTCAGAGTGATAAAAAAAATGTTCAGAGTATGAGATATTTTTTCCAGTTTCAATTGAGATATAATTGACATACAAGGGATCTTTTATTTGTGATGAAGTTGGTCTACACTTGTTTATAAAAGACATTTAACTATACTGCTTTAAATGGACTCAAACATCCTGAGGGTAGTTTCTGAAGCTGTTTGTGCAGCAGCGTCTATAAGATGAAAGCAGCTGTGGGCATTGTGAAGAAACTGTTATTATTAAATATTCCTCCAGCAGGTATTTTGTTGGTAGCACTTTCAGTGTGGGGGATGGTGGCTTATAATTTAGAATCACAGGGAACACTAACCAGAAATAAAGAAGGTGAAGGGCAAAAGACTTCTCTTTTCCATCTCCTTTGGTTTCATCAGTGCCTCCCAAAGAGTAAATATTAAAATGTTAACTCCAAGAGAAGCTAAATATTTGGATAATTGTAGAGAAGTTGAGTGATTTCAAAATCAAAGCAAGAGGCTAATAAACAATGCTTACAAAAAATTTAGAGGAGAAATAAAGTTAAAAATCTTAAGAGAAGGAAATAAATGGATGCTTTCTTTAAAAAAGTACACACATGCAAACATAATTTTATTATTTGGAAGGCTGGGGTTAACAATCAAACATTTTTGAACCCACTTGCTTCAACCTAGAAATCTCCAGCTTCATAAATCCAGGGAGAGGTTTAGATTCCCTTATTAGTAAAGCTTTTTTGGAAGACAGGATCAAGATAGGAAGGAAAGACTCCAGTGTCTCCTGTAAGTTCCTCATTTCTGTCTTCCATTCCCTTTCTTCCTTAGTACAAAGATAAATTAAAAAATTCCATAAGCTATCTTATTCCGGCCCTCCGAGTGCGGCCCATTGACCAGAAGCGTCAGGATTACTGGGCAGCTCCTCAGAATCATCTGCCTCTACTCCAGATCTCTGGCAGACTCAGAACCCCAGAGACTGAATATACATTCCCGCAGTATGTGTCAGAGTACCGAGTTACTGCAACCAAGACCACACAGGCTCCAAAGACGCACAGCCAATCTTCATTTCATGATAACAAATACTACCCAGAATAATTAAATGTTCTGATTAACTGAGGACATTTTGGTTCCTCTTTGTTTCCATCATTACTTTAAAAACTTTCAATAATGTAGCAAAGCATTTTCTTGGGTAAAAAGCATATGGAATAGTTTAACTTATTTTGATAACTAGGATTGTTATCTTAAATATTAATATTGGATTACAAATGGTCAGTGGAGGAGGGCATGGCAACCCTCTCCATTATTCTTACCTTGAGAATGCCCAAGGACAGAGGAAACTGGAGAGCTTGTGGTCACAGAGTCGGACACAACTCTAAGACTAAACACGGCATAAATGGCCAATATAACAGATTGGGGTCGGTGAATTTTTTCAAAAGGGACATACTTTTAGGCTCATGGGTTTTTTGGTTTCTGTTGAAAAATACTCAAGTCTGCTGTTTTATCATGAAAAGTAGCCAGAGAGAATATGTAAACCAACTGGAAACGGGATTGTCTCCATAAAACTTTACTTATTAAAACTGGGGGTGGGCTGACTTTAGCCCTGCTCACTATAGTTTACTGAGGTAAAAGTCATTAGAATCAACAGTAATATTTATGATGCACAACAGGTTCTCAATAAATACTTAATAATAAACACTGAACGTGTTCAATAAGCATTGTTCAAATAATATTAAACAGAGATCAGACAAAAGCTATTATCAAAAAGGAGGACATTACCAAGCACAGGTTTTTAATTTTAAAGTGGGTATTTTTTTCAATGACCAATTTATCATGGTTTAACTTATACAGACCAGGTGATTATAAAAAAAATTATCTGATATTTTTAAATTAATCAGTCTCACTGAATGTATATTTTATAGTTTAGTAGTATTTCAAGGATCACAACAAACAGAGGTTAAATGACTCATCCTGGATGGTCCCAGCTGGCTCTGACATTCTTGGGGACTGAAAACCCCAAAAGGTGACCCAGAGGCATGTACAAGGTGTCAGTGCTTCACTGGTGATTAGAGGTAGAATTTGGCAACCCTGATGGCAGCAGACTGATTTTATTTCATTTCTCTCATCTACATGAGCCTTTGTATCAGCTCAGGGAAAACTTCAACCTAAAATACATGTATGATTTCTTTGAAGTGGTATCACTGTGTTTTGCTCTGTATTTACAATAATTGGATCAAAGACTTAAAACTGTCTAACAGTCATTCTTAACTGCTTAAAAATTGGTTCAACTATCTAATTTATAATCCAGTAGCTGGATTCAATTCAAGTCTGTCTAAAGACCAATCTGAAAATATGCCCTGTCAACATAGCATGTATCATGTGGTGATGAGATCAGTAATTAAGAGAACAAAAAGCAAATTAATTACCATATAATAATTAAAGAAAAAATGAACTGGCTATCACTTCTCTGAGTGGACCACCTGCTTTAATCCTATTATGTTGTGAGCTTCTGCTCAGCATCTTGTCCACAAGATGAACACTGTAGTTGTCAGACAAGGAGAAAAATGAAATAAATGACAGTAATTTGCAATTTATTCCTTGTAAAGTAGCTGGGTACAGAAGGGCTGCTGGGTGAATGTATTTCATCACTTGACATTTATTCTGCTAGTTGATCTTGATTGATTTTAGAGTTGCATTCCTGGGGTTCTTATATTCAACACATTCGCATGCAGCAGTGTTTCTAAGTAATGCTGTGTGCTGTGATTAATCATATGACCCTATTACTAATGGCTTATGAGGAAATCATTTAAATTTAAGGTTACATTAATGTTTTTTTAAATCCCTAATTCATTAGTTAAATTGTCTGAGATTTTCTACAAAGCACTAAGGAAATAAAAATATGCCAAGATACTTCATCTGAGTGCAAAAAAAGCCACAGTGTTTTTAAACAATCACACCTGCTTCTTTCCACTTATGGGACACAATAGAAAAGGCTGTTCAAAAATGATTTTCTTTCAGGAAAGCCTCCCAACTCGGACCCTCTTAACTAGCTCCTTCATGAACTTTCATCATGAAACGCTATTAGCGTTAAGTGAAGAGATGGTGTACTGATGCAGTAGTTAAAAGTTTCCCCTTCATGGCTTAACTCAAATGTCTCTATTTTATAAGTATTACAGACAAAAGTCAAGCAAGTTATAAGTGAATAGGAAGAACAGCAACAAAGAATTAGCCAAGAATAAATTATCAGGATGAACTGATGGTAAATTTAGAACCAGTATGGGGAACTTGAGATTAAAGTATCTATTGGCCCAAAATCATCTCAGAATTCTGTTATGAAATAAGTTACAAGGATTCCCCGAGGGTTGCTCCAGGTGTGTGCACTGGTGGTCCTTCACCTCATGACCCAGAGGAAGAATCTTTCCATCAGCAAAGACACAGCTAATCAGAGGAGAGGGTGGGAACCAGAATCCCTCCTGAGATTATTTCAGAGCCCACCCACAGCAGCTCTTCCCCTGCTAATCTCCCATTGGTAAGAAGACCCACCTTCACTTCATTTAAAATACTCTCCCTTTCATGTAAAGATGCTGGATACACAATGTCTGCTTTCTTAAGGAAAAGAAAATTGTGGAGAGAAGTCTCTCCCTGATGGAGATATGACAGTCAGGAGCCCCAGACAATATATTAAATAAGGCTGGAGAAGAACAGGAGGAGGAGCTGCCAATAATTATTAAGGACAAGGATGACACTGTTTACTAAAGTATCTATCTCTGGTGACAGCAGCTTGTGTCTTCTCCCGAATGTATAGCTAGTAGTCTCTTAAAAACATATGTGGTGTGGTAGTATTCATTAATTGGAATTACAACCTTTTCATTTCATGTCCAAAAGTAGTACACATGCTCTTCAAGGCTTTTTGGTTGAAATAATGACCACCACTCTCCCTGGCTGTTTGAAATACAGCCACTTTCTTTAGCAGAAATGTCACTAAAAATGTCTCAGATCCCTCTCCTTCAGAACAGAGGACATTTACTAAATGAACAGTTTCCCTTTTAGAAGAACTATCTTTCACTGGAAGAAAAGTTAAAAAAAATAAAACATTGCTAACAGTAGAGACTGATAACCAGTATGACTAGGGGGGGATTTAATTATTTGTACTTATACTCTCCAATATTTCCAAACATTCTGTATTAAGCATGTATATAGTTAAGTCAGAAAAACCAAAACCAAACTTTCTATGGATGGAGGAAATTCTGTTTTTCATTCTCTTCCCTTCTGTAGTATTATAAGCTAGAGGAAGAAAGGGATGCAAATTATTGAATACTGTAAAAGTCTTTCTGGGTTTGATTTACATTTCCAAGATCAATTAGGCTTCCTTAGCAATGGATGATTCTTCTTCATCCTTAAAACTTAATGCAAATACCTTAAAGACCAAGGTGAGAGGTATCATACCTGTTAGAAAATCCAGGGTTGCAACTTTTAAGATCTGGTGATGAGTAGTGGGTTGTTTTTAATTTTTTATGTGCTGGACTAAATAATTTATACTGAGAGCAGACTACAGGTGATATATTTACTTTGTTAGATGATTGACTTCCACAGTTTGTTCTCTCCTTGGAGGTGTTCAGTGTATCACTACCACACATGTTAGGAGGAGGGCTTGGAAACTCTCCATCTGGTATATGATTTTGGCTTTCTTCTCTTTCCAAAGCATTGGACTTATTGCTGAAATCCGTCAAAACAAGAGTTGCAGTTCCAAATGCAGTTTTCCTGTTGATCTTCACTTTTGCCTTCGGTTTTCCAAAGCTATTACAAGGGTATTTCACTAAGTTGTTAAAGACAAAAGGATTTCCTTCATTCCTGAGTACTGAATCTGGAAGAAGAGACAAGTAGTTCTATAGAATTCCTTTAAATACACTGACTATTTGAAACATCTTTTCATCTGATTAAAACATTCAGTTCATTTATTACAGTGACTTAATGTATAGAACTAATAATACAAAGTTAGCCTGAGCAATCCAGAAAGCCACCTTCTGATTAGGAAATAGAGTATTACATGAAGTGCAAAATTTCAACAACTTCCAGGGACTCAGAGGTGGGTTTAATAAAGATTTATATTTATTATGCTTTATATTGTGTTTTAGCATTTAAAGGTTATTGAGCTATTGATTTTGCAACTATCAAACCAAATATTAATGCAGTATAATTAAGAGGGGTCATCCCACAAAGCTTTAGGTCAGCAGTTAGAGTCTATATCTAGATCATCAGGAATGTGTCTGTGAATGATGAGACCAACTGAAAGGCTTATTACAAAAAAGTAAAGATGAATTACAAAGATTTACATTTATTAAATATGTTTCAAGAAAGCATCTTAGAATTTTAGAATCTGTACTGTGATTTATTCTAAATTGCTCTTGAGATATATGCCTTTCATATTCAGAAAAAATAACAAGAAAATAATTAAGATGTGTAAAGGCATTTCAGAATGTCAAAATAAATGTGGAAATCTAAGACTGTGATTTTCTAAAGGCTCTCTGTTGAATGATACTGAAGAAGGCAAGGCCAGAAATAGGAGACACAGTTCCTTCTGCTCCCAGTGAAGCTGTGCAAGGGGTGATGCCTGCCTCTCTGGCCCAGAGAACAAAACACAGTATGACAGCTCACACAATGTGGGGTCCAGAAGTCAAGAATGAACTTTCTCCTCTCTAATTGAAGAAAGAAAGAACATTTTGAGAACACAATAGAAGCCGCATCAATGAGATGGTTCTTAATCACAGGTTTTCTCTGAGGTTTTACATTCTCTGAACGCATGAAATTGTGAGCTCTAAAGAGTTATTTTGAAGGATTTGAATGAAATCAGTACAATTGTCTGGGTAAAGATTTTAATAACAAGGGGTAGGAGGGATAAAGAAAGAGGAAAAAATTCAGCATTTTTCTATTCCACCTGCAAAGATATTCTTACAGAAATCCTCCCTTACAATTTATGAAACACTTGGACTGAATAACAAACTCAAAAGTTGCTGAAATCTGCATAAAACAAAGCTTTATTGAATAATTCATTAGAAACAGTAGAGAACAGATGTGATCATCTCAGTTTTGTGAGATACAAAGGCACATACCATGTCTTCCCTCCCTGTTTAAAAAAAAAAGTGCTCAACAGAATATTAGCATGGTTTACATGCAAAGGCTGGCAATTCTTTTAAACCTTTCAGAAAGAAGGCATTTTAGTTAGTTGTGAAATATCAAAATGGAACAAGATATATACTTGCCTTTGTGTAATTTATCCTCTTTGAAATAGCAGGAACTCAGAATCAAAATTTAGTCTTACCTGCAGGCCTTGAAGTCAGGCAAGCATCACATGTCTTAGAAGACGGCTTATTTATTAGAGTACAGACCTCGCATGTCCACTGCTCTTCAAATTTCTGGGCCACACAGTCCATAAGATGACCCTCTCTGCTACAAGACCAACTGACTGCAGTGTTTCTAACTGGCAGCATGCTAGAAGAGAATTTTTTCTAAAGTTAATCATTAACACTTTTATTACGGTCTTGTTCTTATACATTCTGAGTACCGCAGAAACAATTACAGAACCACAATTACAATACCCAAATGTTACACGTTTACTATTGCTTAGAAGTTCTATGTCTCAGAATGTTTTCACTTGGGTTCTGAAGATTGCTATTAAAGACAGAACTAACAAAAGACTTACAATCAAAGAACTGTGTATGTGTACTTTTAAACCAACTAAAAGCAGTTGACCTAACCACTAGGGAGCATTTCTGTAAGGGAGCATTAAAGTAAGTGGGACTCTTCCCGAAGCAAAACCATCTTTAGTCAAACAAATTACGGAGGAAAAAAGTTATGTAGAAATCAGAGCAATGACCGTTAAGATGAGAAAAGCTTCACATATACTTTGTGCGCCTCTGGAATTTCTCAACAGTGTCTACTCAGCACTGTGGCAATTAGTTGATCTACAATCTATTATGATGAGAAAGATATCTATACTTAACATTATGTCCCTTCAGGTAAAACTCTCTCATGTTGATATCTAACTAACAGATTAGTAAGCAAACAGTAAAACCAACCCCAATTTTTGGCCACAGACGTAAACTATGATTCTCTACCCCAAATTCCTAGTTGACTCTGTATTGTTCAAGAAAGTGCCTTTCTAAGCTCTGATGTAGTCCTGCTCTGGGTCTGCAGAGCACATCACATGGCTTAGCAACCAAGGCAGGGTCATGGATTCCTTTCATGATTCCAAACATTAATATTGAAAAAAACTCTTCCGGTAAAGGCTTTGTACCTTACATTTCAGAACATGACTTCTTTGACTTTCAAAGGTAGCCTTGTCTTCTGTAATATTTTGCTCCCTACATATAATTATAACAGGTTTTAAATTCAGACTTGTTTGGTAAAATCATAAATAGCATAAGAAAATCTGAAAGTAAGACACATCTCATTATGGTTCTTTTATCTTTATTTACCTTGACTTTTAATGCTATTCAATATTTCTCACCCCTGTAAATCAACTATACTTTAATAAATTTTTTAAAATATCTCTTATTCCTATGCAATATCAGACCTTCTAAAGAATTTACTTGACCTAATCCCTGCCCTCTACTGACTTACTATGAGAGACAGCAGCATTATGTATTTATTCATAATTAAGTAAAGCACAATTTAAATAGCCTTCAGGTTTTTAATGTGCTCCAACTTTTCACCCTTTTCATTTTCTATCCTACAAATTTACTGTAAGTGAATATTTATTGTTACATACAGAAGCTTTGGAAACATTTTCTCTTAACTGCTCCATGTCTTAATAATCTAGTAATAAATTCTTTTCAGTTTCCAGTTAGACAGTTAACCAGAATTTCAACCCTAACATGTCTGCAGTAGGCTGAATAATGACCTCCAAAAGATTATCAGAGTGATCTCTTAATCCAAACACAAGTATCCTTAAGAGAGAGTGAGGCAGAGGGAGATTTGATACATGCAGAAGGGAAAGGCAGAGACTGGGATCATGTAGCCACAAGCGTAGGACACCAGAATCACCAGAAGCTGGAAAAGGCAAGGAGTGGATTCCGTGCTAGAGCCGCTGGGTTAGGGGTGCACAGCCCTGCCCACACTGTGACTCTGGCCCAGTCAGAATAATGAACTGCTGGCACCCAGAACCATGAGGGAATAAACCGCTGCTGCTTTGAGCCGTCCAGCTGCTGGTAAGCTGTTACAGCAGCCACAGGAAGCCTGTGCAGGTAAAAGCCGGGACCCCTGCCCCCAGTCTGCACTCCCGCCGGTTTGGCACATCTCGGCAAAGGGCATCACCATGCACTCAGCTGATGAGGCCAGAAACCTGGGAGCTGTCTGTAACACTTTTCCCTCACACCCATTCTGTCAACACATCCTGCAGGCCCTGCTGCACAGGCAAATCTGCCAGACACTCAGGAAGCTTCCGCGGCTTGCTGTGTGGTCCTCTGTGGAGGGGGGTGGTGAGCGTGGGGGATGGAAGCTGTCATTCCAGCTGCAGGAGGTGGAGGGCACTGTCCGCGACGTCAGGCCTGGGGTTCTCTCTGGGCAAGACCCACGTGCTGCCAGCACCACCTCGCACCTGCTCAGTGCCCAGGGACCTATGTGCCCTGGTGATGTCAGGGAGCAGGTGGACTGTCTCATATGTCCAATTCAAGAGATGCCGCTCCGTTCCTTGCTTAGGGGATATCATGACTGGGGCCCCAAGTCCATTCAAACACGCACCATCCACCAGTGACCCAGGAACAGCCTGGCAGAGGGACAGCTGAGGGAGACCTCAGGGCTGGTGGTCCTCAGAGAAAGGACTGAGCAGAAGCATATGTGGGAACTTATCAGTCACAGAGTCACTATTCTATTCCTCTGTGCTATCCCAGCACCTGACATACTGCAGGCCCTCATAAAGTCATCATCAAAAAAAAAAAAAGTGAGGAAAAAATTATAAAGACTCCAGTAAAGTCAAAGAATAATGCAGTTTCCCTTCATGAAAACAATACTCACATACATAGATTTTGCTAGTAAGAATGTAAAGAAGAGCCAACAATACAAAATACAAGTATGCAAAGAATGGTGTGACCAATAGACTGGAAAATCTGGGTAGGACTTCAGGAAGGACTGAAGTAAATTTTTAGTGACTGAAGGAACATAAGAATTTAGATCATTATGATTGAAATTTTTAATATTTCATTTGAATTTGAAATGACTTTAAAACGAAAAAAGTTTAGTCAATATAAAAAAGTGCTCAAATGCTCATCCAGACAATGACTAGATTATACTTACTTGCAGAAATCTCTAAGAGTGGGGCAAATATTACTGGTTTTCAAGTGCTTTATTATATATACACTTATTCTGCAATAAGCCTTCAGTTGGGTGCCAACATATGAAACAGACCCAGGTTAGGAGGGAGAGGCGGAGGGCCCAGGACGCATCCGGTGCATCCCACTCTACAGCTCACAGGTGACTCCCACGGCTCTTTCAGGGAACCCTTGAGGCTTTGAATCCTAGTTTCAAAAGACCTTTGCTTATTTGACAAACTGGAAGAATGTGAATTTTTAAAAACTTCAAAAGCTATCAACTCATGGAAAACAAATATATACAGAATATTAATCACTTATTCAGTAGATGAATATATATTGAATGTCTTCTGCCAGAAATGCTGTATGTTTTTGATCAAATAAAAGTAATACTAAAAATAAGGAACCCCTAAATTTATGTAATATAACATTATCTAACCATATTTCAGATCTCTGATAGTAAAATGCAGTGAGGAACCTGAAAAAAGGGGGATATGGCGTGGTTTAGAGAAAAGTAATTGTTAACAAAAGGTGATGAAGAAAATGAAACATAGGAACAAGGAAGAAAAAACAAAAGACAGCTGCAGACATACTGATAGAGACATAAGGGGATCTGGACCACATCACCTCTGTCCTGGGGCCCTGAGCTCCCCAGACAAGATGGTGCCTCCGCCCTCCCAGACCTCCTCACAGATGTGTACTTCCCTGCTTGCCCTGCGGTCTCCAACCACCGCATCCTGTTCCCTCTCTGCCTCTTTCCCTCCTACTGTGTAGTTAGGTATACTCTCCAAAGCTCAGACCTTGCTTCTTTTCTCTATACTTTTCCAGTGAATCAATCCTGTGTTAATACTTCCATCAACAACACAGGTGTAACCATCAAGCCTTCATCACCCACCATACATGGATCTGGTCCACATATCCAAAACTTGATTTATCTCTTCCATTCCACCCATCTTTCCCAGTCCTGTAAAGTGAAAATTTCTGTTTTGGGGCTTGGGACTTTTTGCATTATCCTACATATCAAATCTGTCATAATTCTTGCCGGCTCTAGGTGACTATTTCTTCCTCCATTTTCAGTGTCTTGACCTCAGGCCTAGTAACCATCTCTTGTCCATTATACTACACAAGCTTCATGTGTGTTTCTTCATTTTCTATCCTAACATTGCTATAACCAATTAAAAAGTCTTTATCTACTGATTTAGCTTAGATATGAACCATTCCTAGTGCTACTGATTCTGACCCGTTAACCCCACCCTAACTGTAAAACTAGCTTTTCCTATTTAACAGCTTGCAGTCTTCACGTGGCTTCGCCAGTGTTACCATCAATGATTTGAGGTTTGTGGCAATGCTTTTCCAATTAAATAATGTCTGCTTGCTCATTTACTTAGCCAAAATTATAGCTCTAAAAGAAACATCAAATTACACTTTTTGTATGAGATTTTTCCAAGCTTTTGTGTTCCTATAAAGAGCTAATGTCCCTGCACTCTTGTAGCACTTAATGTGCTTCATGTCTGTACTGATTCATCTGACTTAAAATCACAAATCCTGCACCTCCTTTATATGGTTAATATTTCACCCAGCCTTCCAGGGACGCTAGTTCTGAACTGACACTTATTTGAGCAGGCCCGAAGTACCACTGTGCTCCACAGGTCAGAGCAGGGGCTTGTGCAGGTCAGGAGAGCAACACAGTTTTAGCTCAATTCTCGCAGTGGAGCCAGTGGGTCCTTGAACCCACCCAGTGGTGAGTTCCCTGCTCTGGAACGCAGAATGGGAACAGACTTACTCAGCCACTGGCTGAATCACCACGTCGTGTTTACTAAGTAGTTGGTTGCTTCACCAGGAAGACAGCAATTCAGTAAAGAGAGTTTGCTAATGTTTTCTATTAAGAGCTTTGGAAAGTAGTTGCATTTTTCCTATTATTGACAAAACTACACTTCCTAGTAATCATTTTATAAATGAGACAAAAGCCAAAGCCTGGATATTAACATTAAACTTAGAGATTTTCTGCAGAATCAGAAGAGGCTCATAAATCATCTCCAGATCATTCTGGTTTTTGGATGATATTATTTACTATTTTCTTCCAAGCCTTCAAACACTTGTGAGTTATGTTCTGTTCTTAATAGCCTGATAGCTCTTCAGCTATGTTCTCTTATTAATAGACCTTTTGTTAAGAGAATTGGGGCAAACAGTACACTTTAAATTAGATTTCTCACCATATGTCAACATGCTGAGGATTTTCCTTCTGACAGTGAGGACAGAAATATGTCATTCTGTTATTCTCCCCTAAGCGACACACAGTTATTTTGCAGCAACACTGACCACAGTTTGGACGCTTGTAAACCTTACAGTATTTAGAGAGAGCAGATCCCACTTTGCAGCACTAAAAGCAAACAAACAAACATTACGTTATGTTATATATGACATATTCTTGAAAGACATTTCTAAAAATGATTTGTTAAAAATGTACATAGGCTTATACATATGTCCTCATGATCTTTCTTTCATCTGAGAAAAAGGTATTGACAAGATTCAGCAACATTTGTCAAATAAGGTTTGTGTGAAGTAATTAAGCCATTATTTTATAACTTATTAGTATTTAAAATTGCTCTTTGCATGGCTTTTTACCCTCTTATCTAAACAGGATACAAAAGTGCTATAATTTAAAATGCCTTTCATGCTTTTAAGGTTTTTATAATTAAACATAATTATGTGGTTATAAGAAAAAGACTAGATTAGCTTTAAATCTGATTATTTTTAGAATATTGAAGCTGCTCACTTTGTTTCAATAGCCAAAAAATTTATTTCTACAGGGTAAAGCTTAATAAGATCATCTTCTTTGCTGACCTAAAAAGGGACAGTTGTTTTTAATCTTATAATTCACTGAAAAAGAAGAAAAATTCAAATACCATCCTAGCAGCAAACATGTTCCATTTGGCATAAGTTCTATTTCAAAAGACATTGATTATTCTCTGTCAGTTTTATTCTACTCACACACACGTAAAACTCCTCCAAAAGCCAATGTTTGGGATTTATATCAGCTGTGAAAATTTAAAAGTTCAGAAATACAGCAAATAATAGTACAAGCTGAAAATTAAAAAAACAATCCATAATAATTTAAGCCAAGTATTGAAATACACATCTTAATCTGGGCAGAAAATGGGTAGTGATTTGGAATCATCTTTCCCTAAAAGCACAAGTGGGCATATATAATATTAAAACAGCCACAGATACTTAGGACAGGTATGTAAATCTAAAGACTCATTAACACTTTAGGCCAACTAATGAAGAATCCTACAATACCTGACTTTCTAACAATAGCAAGAATAAACATTTTGAACATATAAAATGGAATGTAGAGAGAAAAAGATATATTTATGATAATTTGTTTAAAGATAAAATATGTTTCTCCTTAGTTGCTCAGTCATGTCTGACTCTTTGCAACCACATGGACTGTAGCCCGCCAGGCTCCTCTGTTCATGGGATTTCCGAGGCATTGGGATTGCCACTGCAAAGGGTTGCCATTTCCTTCTCCAGGGGACCTTCATGACCCAGGGATTGAACCCATGTCTTCTGCATTGTCAGGCAAATTCTTGACAGGTGAGCTACCAGGGAAGCCCATGCCTATATACACAACTCTCAAAATTTACAGTTCTCAAAACAGCGTCTGTGTTAAGACAAATATTATCCTATTTTATAGATAAACTAAACCTAAGTTAAGTAACCTAAATAATATTAACCACACAAATGGTAAGTGGCAAAATGTGATTGAAACAAAGACTATATTTATCCCAAAGTATTGACTCTCTCTCTAGGCTACCTATCTTTTACTTTTATATGCCCAAAATTAGAACATGAGTCTAAGTAACATGCCAACATACCTGTCTCCCAACTTAGTATAAAGATAATCTAACATAATTATAGTTAGTTTGGGCTGACCTTTGACCTAAAATTTTAAGATGTTAATTATGCCCACAACATGTCACTTCTCCCCACTGCACCTCTATGCTCTTACCCTTAGACGGCTACATACAGCCTTAACATTTTTGGTGCAATTAGAGTAAAATAAGCAACATTTTGCATAGTTGAAAAATGTTTGCTCTTACCCTGTAAAAAAGAATGCTGAAATCACGTATCATTTTCACAAGGTGATGGATCTGTTCATCTGTTAACTGACAAACCTTAAAATAGAAAAACTACTCAGGACAGTTTCATAATTTGTTCATTACTATAGACAGTAATACCACTTGCCAGGTCTAAGAGTACTATAAAAAGATTTGAAATATATGCATCTCTTCTAAAACTCATGTATCTATTTAGTGTTCTTAACAGCATTGACCATTTCAAGCACAGATAAATAAACACCATTCTTGAACTTATTTACAAAACAGAAATGAACTCACAGACATAGAAAACAAACCAAAGGGGTATAGCAGCAGGGGTGAAAGTGAAAGCGTTAGTCACTCAGTTGTGTCCAACTCTCTGCGATCCCATGGACTGTATCCCGCCAGGCTCCTCTGTCCGTGGGATTTCCCAAGCAGGATACTGGAGTGGGTTGCCATTACTTTCTCCAGGGGATCTTCCTGACCCAGGGATCAAATTAGGGTCTCTTGCACTGCAGGCACAAAGGAAGTCGCCAGTAGTGGGGTTAGAAGACCTCCTAGAACTAAAACCTAAGAAAGATGTTTTATTCATCATCAGGGATTGGAATCCAAAAGTAGGAAGTCAAGATATACCTAGAGTAACAGGCAAATTTGGCCTTGGAAAACAAAATGGAACAGGGCAAAGGCTAACTGAATTCTGCCAAGAAGAATGCACTAGTCATAGCAGATACCTTTTTTAACAACACAAGAGACAATTTTACACATGGACATCACCAAATGGTCAATACCGAAATCAGATTGATTACATTCTTTGCAGTCGAAGGATGGAGAAACTGTATACAGTCAGCAAAAACACGACCTGGAGTTGACTGTGGCTCAGATAATTAGCTTCTCATAGCAAAATTCAGGCTTAAACTAAAGAAAACCATGAAAAACAGTAGGTCAGCCAGGTATGACTTAAATCAAATCCCATATGCATTCACGATAGAGGTAGCAAACAGATTTAAGGGACTAGATCTAGAAGAACTATGGACACAGTTCTGTAATATTGTACAGGAGACGGCAAACAAAACCATCCAAAAGAAAAAAAAAAAGCAAGAAGGAGACTACAAATAGCAGAAGAACGAAGAGACATGAAAAGCAAGGGAGAGAGGGACAGGTACATCCAATTAAATGCAGAGTTTCAAAGAATAGCTAGAAGAGACAAGAAGGGCTTCTTCAAGGCAAAAGAAAACAACAAAAGGGGAAAGACTAGAGATCTCTTTAGGAAAACTGGAAACATCAAAGGAAGATTCCACCCAAAGATGGGCACAATAAAGGAAAAAATGGTAAAGACCTAGTAGATGCTGAAGAGATCAAGAAGAGATGGAAAGACTACATGGAAGAACTGTATAAAAAAGATCTTAATGAACCAGATTACTGTGATGATGTGGTTAGTCACCCAAAGTCAGATGTTCTAGAGTGTGAAATCAAGTGGGCCTTAAGAAGCACTGATGCAATAAAGCTACTAAATGCAATGAAATTCCAGCAGAACTACTCAAATCCCTAGAGAAAGATGCTATCAAGGTTTTGCATTCATTATGTCAGCAAATCTGGAAGACCCAGCAGTGGCCACAGGACTGGAAAAGGTCAATCCTCATCCCAATTCCTAAGAAGGGTAGTAACAAAGAATGCGCCAGCCATCGGACAGTTGCACTCATCTCCCATGATAGTAAGGTCATGCTTAAAATCTTGCATGCTGGGCTTCAGCATTATGTGAACCAAGAGCTCCCAGATGTCCAAGCTGGGTTTAGAAAAGGAAGAGGAACTAGAGACCAAATTGCCAACATATGCTGGATCATAGAGAAGGCGAGGGAATATCAGGAAAACATCTATCTAAAAAAAAAAAGGAAAAACATCTATCTTTGTATCATTGACTACGCTAAAGCCTTTGACTGTGTGGATCATGACAAACCATGGAAAGCTCTTAAACAGATGGTGACAGCAGACCATTTTACTTGCTTCCTGAGAAACCTGTATGCAGGTCAAGAAGCAACGGTTAGAACCTGTATGGAACAACCGATTGGTTCAAGATTGAGAAAGGGCTACGACAGAGCTGTCTGCTGTCACCTGCTTGTTTAATCTGTATGCTGAGCACATCAAGAGACATGCCAGGCTGGACGAGTTACAAGCTGGAATCAAGACAGGCAGGAGAAACATCAACAACCTCACATGTGGGAGGAACTAAAGAGCCTCTTGATGAGGGTGAAGGAGGAGAGTGAAAGAGCTGGCTTAAGACTAAATACTAAAAAAACTAAGATCACGGCATCCAGCTCCATTACTGCATGCAAATAGAAAGGGAAAAGGTGGAAGTAGTGACAAATTTCCTTTTCTTAGGCTCCAAAATCACTGTGGACGGTGACTGCAGCCATGAAATCAGATGACTGCTTCTTGGCAGGAAAGTGATGATAAAACTAGACAGTATATTGAAAAGCAGAGCCATTATTCTGCCGACAAAGGTCCATATAGTCAAGGCCATGGTCTTCCCAGTGGTCACGTACTGTTGTGAAATCTGGACCATAAAGAAAACAGAATGCCAAAGAACTGATGCCTTCAAACTGTGGTGTTGGAGAAGACTCCTAAAAGTCCCTTGGACAGCAAGGAAATCACACCAGTCAATACTAAGGGAAATCAACCCTGAATATTCACTGGAAGGACTAATGCTGAAGCTGAAGCTTCAGTATTTTGGTTATCTGATGTGAACTGATGACTCATTGGAAAAATCCCTGATGCTGGGAAAGACTGAGGGTAGAAGGAGAAGAGGGTGTCAGAGGTTGAGATGGCTGAACAGCATCACTGATGCAATGGATATGAACTTGGGCAAACTCCAGGAGGTGGTGAGGGACAGGGAGATCTGGTATGCTGCAGTCCACAGGGTCGTAAAGAGTCGGACACAACTGGGCGACTGAATAACAACATAACTGAATCACTTTGCTGTACACATGAGACTAACATAACATTGTAAATTAACTATACCTCAACTTTAGAAAAAGTGAAAATTATAAGAAAAAGAAAAAATACTATTCTTATTTATAAACTTTAATCCTAAATTCAAGTATTTATTGAATATCTTCTCTGTACTGGACATCTTCAAAGCCCCAATATTGCCCGTCACAGCCACCTTGAAAAGTTTTGTGGGAGATAAAGAGGAAAAGGAAAAAAAAAAAAAAGATCACAAAGAAAGAGGGGAGGGAAAAACAGGCACAAGAGTAGATGACCACCAAGGTCACTGTCAAGTTTTTAGTGAATTTATAGACACACATTAATACTAAAGTACTTGTTAATACATGGAAGAACTCAGAAACAGACTTTACTGAAGATTTTTTTTTGTGCATAAATCTCCGGGTTTCCCTTGTAGAATTAGTTATCATTTGGCACATGTAGTTTCAACAGCAATTCCAGAACAAATTCTTCCTGATGACTCTCTTTTGTGTAATGAATACATTTTTATGCAATGGAAATAAATTTATCAGTGCCTAAAATCTAAAACTGTTTAATCAACAAAATCCTTCTAAAAGTAAATATCATCTATTTTTTCATTTATTTAAAGTTTAAAACATATGTATTATACTTCTCAAACTCACTTATTTTTTACCACATCTTACATACTATGTTCAGTCATATCTTAAAATGTTAAACTATACTTTTTCAATCATTGTACATATGCTTTTAGGGGGCTAGTAGCTTACCATTAATTTTTAACCTGCAGGCATTATGGTCAAATGATCTCCTACTAGATGAATGGCTGGCTGGATACAGTGATAAAAAGTAAATTGCCAGTTTATCAAAGGTAATAACAACGCTCTGGGTAACAACACTCAGTTCTTTTTTCAAAAATATTTTCCATAGACGTTGAGGTGATTTTAAAAAGCTCATAAACTCATTCCTGTTATAATTCTGTTTTGTTATTCTGTATTACAGAAATTTGACTAGCTTGTTCCAAGGGTCAAAAAACAAACAGAATCTATAACAATTATTAACTAGTTTCTTTGAAAAATTTCCTACTGATTGGATTGCATAAAACCTAACTGGGAAGAAATCATATAAAATAAATAGTTATCTTTGGAAATATGTAAAAGATGGTTTAGTTAATAGACAATACTTGGGTCTGGATGAAAGCCCTAATGTAACTTTCTTCCCTGGAAACTAAAATGTATGTATCCTTCCACTTGGATTTGAGTTCTAACCTCTCTGACCTTCTTACAACTTGGCCCTATTAATCATCATTTTCTTTTTTTTTTTCGACCTCTCCCTCTCTGTCAGTTCCCACCTCCCACCCCCCAACATATAAATAAGTTCACATCACTTCAGTTGAAGAACAAGGAAAAAATCACCTAAAGACCCAGTTATGCCAACATCTCCCTTTGGCAGTCGAATATTTTCCTTTTGCTTCAATCTAAGCTAGCTTAACAATTACTCTAAAATTTGCTTCCATTTCCTCACCATTCACTTATTCTTAGTCTTTGCGTCCTGACTTCCAATCTTACCATTCCATCTTACCATTCCATCAAAACAGCATTTTCTAATGTCACAAATAGCTATCCTGAGTGAGTGCAGAGTATGAATTTAATATGCCAGATAGTAAGAGAAATTGGTGAGCTCAGTTCCTTCATACATTCACCAGATATTTCTTTAATGCCTTCCATGTGCCAAACACTGTATCTAGATGCTCAGATATATCAATGAACCAAACAGACACTTTCCTCCTAAGAGACTATATTCTAGCAGAGAAGAGATCTTACATACTATATATGTAACAAGTAAACATCAGGCTGTATTTGAAAGTGATCAGTGGTATGGAGAAAAAAAAAGCAGAGCAAGTTACAGAAGACTGGGGGGATGAAGTGGGCATGCCCAGCTTTAAAAAGAGTGGCCAGGGTTGGTCTCACAGAGAAGCTGACACGGGCAAAGGCCCCCTGAAGTCTGCTGGGGAGACTGTGCTACTGCCATTCTCTCCAAACATGTCAGGCCAAATTTAAGTGTTCCTCGTTGAGCCCTTCACAATATTTAAAAATACAGAAGTCATTTAAAAAATATCTAAAACCTACTTTGACAGAGGGATGGAGACCACTGTCAAAGAGAGCTTCATTTTTGATGATGTTTCCCACCCCAGGCAACACTTTCTGATCCATTAACACGTCACATAGCATCCGTCCTTTCTGCTTTTTCACTTCATTTTCTGCTCTGGAGAAACTAAATCTAGGTGAACATACATCTAATTCTTCCATCACTCTTATTCTCTGTTGGCTTTCTGTTGAGTTTCTAAAGAAAGGAATAGACAACACATTAATCATGTGCCTGGTTACAATCCAGTGTCATTTTAAATGATCTTTGATATAAAGATTATGTTAACCAGCATATAAAAGTTATATAGCCAAACAATGAAGATCCTACCAAACTATGTTATTTGAAGACTCTTTTAAATAATTTTTTTATCAATTATAAACCACTTTTTAAAAATTTGTGTTTATTTTTTCACTTCCACATGTGACATCCCAAATCCAGCTGCAGAGCCAACTTTTTAGTTTCGCAGCAGAAGCATTTTCTAACTTAATTTTTTACCTGATTTCTACTGATGAGTCAAAGAAACAAATCAGATCTTTGGTGAGCTGTACTTCAAAAACAGGAGAAACTCCATTCTTATTTTTAGACTCAAGTGGATTAATCACAAGCGAGCCTTTCATTCCAAAATGAATCCTGGAATAAAATCAAACCCATCTTTGAGCAGCAGAAAGTATCTTGTGCATTAAATTTTTGTTTCTTCATTTATTGGAATATAAGCAAACAAATACCAGTCACAATAAACACTCAAGGGCACAAAATAATAGCTAATATCACTTTTTTTTTTTTTTGGTTAATGCCTTTGCATCCTTATAAAACAAGATAGGGCAATCATTTTTCCAATCCACAAATAAAATAAGTTCCTAGAGAAATAATAAGGCCCTGACAATAATCCCAACAAAATATCCCCCTGTTCTCTTTCTTGTCAGATGAAGCATCTTTTATTCACACAACAGTCTACTGTCTTCTCAGCCTTTTCTCAGATTCAAAGGCTTGGGGTGAGATAAGGCTAAATTTAAACTGCCTATAGTGGGTGTTTTTATGAATTCTACAAAGCCGCGAACACTAACATTTCTTAGTTCTAGCCACAGTGGATTGGAAATGTACCCATTCCAGAATGAAATCTATAGCTTAACACACTTTTTCTTTTTTACCCCCTCCCCTGCTTTGGGATAACACAACGAAACAATTTTTTACAAAATCTTTCAGATCAAAAGAAAAGAGAACAAGTCAAAATACCATTGTCTTCAATTTTTTTAGTTTCCTTTTACCTTCATATGTATTGGGAAGAGGGGATTTATAAATATTTACAGTTAACTTGAAAGCCACAGTGCAATGATGAAAAATTCATAGCCTTTCAGTTTTTATAGGATTGATTAGCATGTCCAGTTAAAAAATAAAGAAAAAAAGTGGTTCTATGAGACTTCTGATGATGAAGATCAGAAATGATTCTCAAGATGAAATATTGTGTTCTGCCTTTCAAATCCTTCTCCTTATAGCTTTGTTGAGTTAATAAATATGGCTTTTTTTGGCAGCAAATGTTACTGCTCTATGCTTCTAATTCCAAAGCACCATGTTACAGTATTGTACAAGGTTAACCAGTCTAACTTTAAAAATGTGGATTTTTAAACTCTGTGTGCCCTACTATCAATCATATATGCATTTTACATGCTCCATAGTTCTTGACAGGAAAAATGTGTGCCTGTAAGTACTCTATACTTTAGCTTATGGAGGTTCAACCCCAGTGAAAGGTGCACAACTGTCATGCCCAGAAGCCATCATACCGAAAATCTTTTCAGCTGAATAGCTCATAAAGTGGATTCTAAATCATTTTCTATAATGAAACTGCATCCACATATAAAATCTCAAAGGTTAAGATCCAATTCAAAGGCAGGAGTAGTCCCAGTAAGAACTCCAGATCAAATACACATATGTATACCTTTTTTTGGTCTTACAAATCTATTTAGGGAGAAATGTGCACAAAAATAACTTCTTATAATTAACAAATTTTAGCTAACTTTTATGAAATAGCAAAATGTTGTGATAACCACGCTGCAACAAAACAACAAATTTTGCGTTTATTGTTACATACCCTTTGTCTAAAGCTAAGAAAAACATAACAGTATCATGAAAATTTTCAAGGCGCAGTAAATACCTGTATTGTTACTACAATTGTCATACTGATGTCTTATAAACTGGGACATACACCCTTATTGTATTTGCATTCAAGAATCAGATTTGTTTTCAAGATTCCTCATTGTTATCAACCTAGTTTAGGAAAATGTTATTAGATCCTTATTTCTTGACAACTCAAGTTCCCTCCACCACAGTTCAACTGGTTTCTTGAGCTCATTCACTGTGCATAACATGACTGCCTGCCCACGGTGGGCTCCAGGCCCCACCAGGGGCAGTCTCTGTCCCTTCCTCTGATCCCAGTTTAGACACAGCTGATTCAGGAATGGACACATGAGTCAAGCTGGATTCATCAGAGTTCTCCTGACAAACTTATTTGGGACAGAGAGAGATCAGTTTCTTGTTAGGACTGGGAGGCCTGGGAGCTGGGAGCTGTCTATGATATTACCAACAGGGCACCAGGCACCAGAATAGCCAAAGGAGGCCTGTCTGCAGAGACACAGACTGTAGAGGATTTCAGAGGAACAGAATCACAGAATGCAGAGTCTTCATAGCATTTAGTCTTTGCTTCCAGTTCTACCTGAAAGCTGACTCCATTATCTTCAGGTATTAAAAGACACTCATATTCTTATAACAAATAATTATTAAAATTAAGTTGAGCTTCTGAAACTTAAAACCAAAATTTTAATATGACAATTGTGTCCAAACTAAAAGTTGAAGTGATGGTAAGAAAATTGTATATTTTCTCCAGTTACACATATAAACATTATGGTAACTAAAATAGAAAATAAGTTACTACTTCAAAACCTTATTTTTCATGAATTAAGAACTTGCAGATGTACAAGCTGGATTTAGAAAAGGCAGAAGAGCTAGAGATCAAATTGCCAACATTCATTGGATCACAGAAAAAGAAAGATGATTTCAGAAAAACATCTACTTCTGCTTCACTGACTAGGCTAAAACTTCTGACTATGTGGATCAAAACAAACTATGGAGAACTCTCTTAAAGAGATAATAATACCAGACCACCTGATCTGTCTCCTAAGAAACCTGTATGCAGGTCAAGATGCAACAGTTAGAACCAGACATGGATCAATGGACTGGTTCAAAATGGGGAAAGGGGTACATCAAGGCTGTATATTGTCATCCTGCTTATTTAACTTACATCCAGAATACATCATGTGAAATGCCGGGCTATGACTCACAAGATGGATTTAAGATTGCTGGGAGAAATATCAACAACTTCAGATATGCAGATGATGCCACCCTAATGGCAGAAAGTGAAGAGGGACTGAGAGGCCCCTGCTGAAGGTTAAAGAGGAGAGTGAAAAGCCTGACTTAAAACTCAACAATCAAAAAGCTAAGATCATGGAATCTGGTTCTATCACTTCATGGCAAATACAAGGGGAAATAATGAAGACAGTGGAAAATTTTATTTTTCGGGGCTCTTAAATCACTGTAGACAGTGATTGCACCATGAAATCAAAAGATGCTTGCTCCTTGGAAGAAAAGCTATGACAAACCTATGCAGCATAATAAAAAGCAGAGACATCACTTTGCCAACAAAGGCCCATATAGTCAGAGCTATGGTTTTTCCAGCAATTATGTACAAACGTGAGAGTTGGGCCATAAAGAGGCTGAGCACCGAAGAATTAATGCTCTCGAATTGCAGTGCTGGAGGAGACTCTTGAGAGTCCCTTGGACTGCAAGGAGATCAAACCAGTCAATCCTAAAAGAAATCAACCCTGAATATTCACTGGAAGGACTGATGCTGAAGGTGAAGCTCCAATACTTTGGCTACCTGTTGTGAAGAGCTGACTCACTGGAAAAGACCTTGATGCTGGGGAATACTGAGGGCAGGAGGAGAAGGGGATAATAGAGGATGAGATGGCTCGATGGCATCACCAACTCAATACACATGAGTTTGAGAAAACTCTGGGAGATAGTGAAGGACAGGGAAGCTTGGCTTGCTGTAAGTCCATGGGATCATAGAGCCAGACACAACTTGACAACTGAACAACAACCTATAGATATTTTAATGATCAGGTTTCTTAGATTGCAAGTGACACAGACTCAACTCAAAAAGTTTAGGCATTAATGGATATTTTGTAACTCATGGCTCTTAGGAAGGCTGAAGAATCAAAATGCATGAGAGCCAGGAATATAGCTGGATCTCAGGGACAGAGGGAATAAGGGATGAAGATGCCTTGGGAACTCTCTCTGTTTTATGGAAACTGGCTGTATTTTCCATCACCTTATCTTTCTGGACAAGCTAGTGGCTCCATACAAGTACTAAGACATCGCATCCCAGATTCCCTCCATCACAGAGAGGCTAACTCTCCTCAACTCCAGGTGAGAATGTTCACAAAAGAACTCAGACTGACCCAATAGAGTATGTTAGGAAAGAAATGCTAAATTCAACTTGAACTCTCCAGTTACTGTGATCAGATAACCAGTTTCCAGAAGAAATGCTGTCCCCAAAAGTTAAGAGGGCAGACTAGACAAACAGTAGGTATTTACCACTCTAAAGTGTAAGATTTGGGGTCCTTATCACACTCCAGCTTTTCCTAACATGTCACGCGACAGATTACAAAGCTACATTTAAGCTGTAAAACCCTCTTACATGTAGCCTATCGTGGATTCCTTAAAGATTTTCCAGCAAGCTAAAAAACTGTCACATTATCTTTTGCATATCTCCAATAAATTACTAAATTACAAAACTGATAATGCATAATGCTTCACTAAAATGGCAAAACCTCCAAAATATTTCAGATACAGCTTTTGGTCTCTGAGTATGTATGTAACTGCAAATAATTAGTCATATAAACCACAAGTTAGAAATAGCTAATTTTTTTTGGAAAAGATACTCATTTAAAAATATATTTAGATACAGGTTAATCCACAATATAACCTGTGTCATTTTGATTGAAAATAGCAGCTTGAAGGGTGGGTGTGTCTGAGTGAATAGAGTTAAGATATGTACATACATAGCATTGGCAATACATGCACCCACAGTTAGTAGATATTCTATTCAGTAGTGGGATTGTGAAAGTATACATTTATTCTTATTTGTTCATTATGCTTAGTTTGCTCTAATGAGTAATTGATACATATCTAACAAAAAGTTAAACATGACTTTTTTCGTTACATATTAAAAGCTTCTGAAAAGTGTTTAGAAACAGTATAGGTATTAGTCACACATAACACCACAACTGTACTCCTAAAATAAATGTATGTTAAATCATTTTTATTATTTTCTGATACTGTTCCAAGTGCTTGAGCACTTAGATACATCTTTTAGCAACAGAAGTAGTCCGTACCTAGTTTGTACCTTTCTGAAGCTTGGATCTTACATAGCAGGTTCTCCTCCAGAGGGCTAGGCCTGTATTTCACTTTGATAACAAATGAATCCCAGGAAGACTCACAGCCTGACCTATAAGATGCACCAAAATCCAAGGGCAGCTTTAATTGTGAGATGCTGCCTATGGAGGGAATACTGTAAGTGATCATTAAGCACGTTTCTGGCTATGGGCTTTCGAAAGAGCAGACCAGCCTGGTGAGGAGAAAACAGGTCAGAAGTGAAGACAACGTTCCTGTCTCACACTCACAGACCTGCAGCCCCACACAGGATCCCATTTCTCTGACACAGTCATCCATCCTCCTGAGCAGCTTAGGTCAGGAGAGCATTTCTGTAACTTGTGTTAAACTCTGAAACACTCTGAAAGGGAATACAGTTGATTTTAGGTTGCTCATTTCATATTCAAACAGCTGATCTGCCAATGACCTTGAATCACTACATCAAGTAGTATCTGAGGCTGCAGAAACTGGAAAGAGACAAGGACCACGCTGCTCCTCATCCGTACGCGGAGGCGCACACCTGCCAGGGACGGTCCCACATCGCTGAGCTTGACGAAACGGCTGCACTTGCTGAGAACTTCAGCAAACACCTACGGACAGCCTTTCACTGGGAAATGATTCCCCTTATCAGTCTGGTGGAGAAGACAGGATGAAAAGCTCCCTCTCATTCTACAGAAATAAATCTGCACCTCACACCAGAGAATCAATAACATATCAATGTTTTCAACTATCTCACATGGATCTCATTGCGTCCTTCTCTGTTCAGAGCAAAGGATTTTCAATCACATCAATCAATCTACTACCACAACAATGCAGCCTGCTCCTACATGAACTAGGAGGTTATGTGATGTTATCAATTACAGACTAAGAAAAACCATGAAGGGACAGTGCTCTCCAAGGACAGCAGCTGCTGACAATGAGAGAACACATCAAAGGAAAAGCAACTAGGTAAACTCTGAAGTACTCGAAACAAGCAAAAGATGAGATACAATAAATAACAATCACGTAGTCATATTATCTATGACCACTAGTCATCTTCACGGGGTCCAATAGCAGAACTTTCAAGAAGGTGAAAACTGTTTAAAATCTAAAAGAAAAATTTTAAACGGTTTAAAGTTTACAGTCTGCAATAGCTTAGGCTAAACTCCAAGAAGACAAAATTGACAGACATTTTACTCCATAGGACTTTTCATATTTTTTGCAAAAATCAGATAGATGACTATATACATTTCAACACCTTTACCACTAAGTCAATCTGTAAGTTAGCAACTAATTTCCATAAGAACTGTAAAACAGCAGAGAACTCGTTACTTCTGTGGAAAGTCTTTGAAACGTACAGGTCAGTTTCCATTTCTGTACAAGCCTTTGGAGAAAGAGGAAGAGAGAAAAATATACAAATCTGGAGAGACATTCCAATCAAACTAGGAGGCGTCATAAAGAAAATGATGGCACTAATGCAATAAACATTTGGTAAAAACAAGAGTGGGAGAGGGCACCACAGGGCGTCTGGAGATGAGCCAAACAGAGGCCTTGTTCTAACAACCTTTGGGAGACCTTGCCTGACTGTCTTTTTTTTTTTTTTTTAAATAAATAAATTGACTAGCTCTCCAAGTAATGATGACATCACACTTTATTCTTCTACTCGCTGCTTTCTACGATAATTTCAAAAATTTCAACCTCTTGTAGTAGAGCTCTCTTAAAAATGGAGTACTTCCTCCGTGATTAAATGTGACAAGCGGCAAACTGCAAGAAAAGCCTTCTGCAGATCTTTAAAGATAGAGAGGTCAGATGTATTGTACAGGTTTATCTTACCGTAAAGCTTTTGGCCCAAAGTACATGAAGAGCTCCTTCCCCAAAGTTTCCACACCACTGTAAACATGTCCATTAAACAGTCTCAAGAAATTCTGACTGGAATTTTTATTATTATTCAGTGCAGCAGCCTAGGGGAAAATAAACACATGTAAATACACAAACTTGAAATAAAAATCATAATTTAAATCTTAACATTTTTATATTACTCTATGCTCAGGTGCATCCCAATGAGAAGAATCATCTCAAATAAGTTGAGTAATGTAAATAGCTGTTTACATACATTTTGTTAAATTACTAGGCAGTTATTTAAAGAGAGAGGCCTAAAGAAAAAAAAAAAAGTGGAAAAAAAAGTCATTGGCACAGAATCAAAATGAATTTCTCCCAGGACTATACTGCTCTGTGCATGAAAAAAGAAAGCACAGGGAAATGACATGAATGTTTTAAAGTTAAAAACTAGGGCACAGAGTCTTCCGTTTCCAAAGTATAGTCAAGGTCCTTGGAAGAGCATTCAGATAAAAACATCTAAACGTGGCAAAGAATAACCTAGGTAAAGAATAGAGGCAAACAATATATTTTGGTAAAAAAATAAATTTGGACCTGTGATGATGAACTCATAAACCAGTAAGGAAGAAAAAGAGGGCAAAAGCCAAGTAAAAGTGAGAGAGAACCCCAAAGGTAAGGAGCCAGATTTTATCAGAAAGGCATTTACTGGACATTAAGACATGAGGCCTCCGGTTTTCATGGCTCTGTGGGACACGGAGGGTCACAGGCAGAGCCAGGAGTCCCCCTGGAGGGGAATCTGGCCGCAGGGCTGCCCCTCTCCAGCTCCGCAAGCGTAATGTTCAGAATAAAGGAAACAGAAACCCAGTACACCTTCCCCCATCAGCATGGAAAGCCAACAACATACTGGCAGAATTACAACATATATACCGAACATTATAAAAAAGACCAAGGTAATTACAGGCGTAAAATATCAGGACTCCTGTGGGTGAAGGGCAGGAATGCATTAAGTTTACATATACCTGAGAAGCCATGCCAACTAACCATTTTCTTTTTTAAAGAAATAAATTGACTAGCCTTTGAAGTAAAAATCATAATGACAGAGAAAATGATGACAGAGATAAACCTTTCTTCTGAAGCTGAGCAGTATGCATGCTGTGATGATAAAATTATAAAACAGTTTAGATACTATGAGCAAAAGGAGACAGTATGCCACTTGAGAAGAGTGGAGAAATAACTCTGGAAACAATGAAGAGATAGAGCCAAAGCGAAAACAACACCCAGTTGTGGATGTGATCGGTGATGGAAGTAAAGTCTGATGCTGTAAAGAACAATATTGCATAGGAACCTAGAATGTTAGCTCCATGAATCAAGGTAAATGGAAGTGATCAAACAGAAGATGGCAAGCATAAACCTGGACATTTTAGGAATCAGTGACCTAAAACAGAATTGAATGGGTGAATTTAATTCAGATGACCAGTATACCTACTACGGTAGGCAAGAATTCCTCAGAAGAAATAGAGTAGCCCCCATAGTCAACAAAAGAGTCCAAAATGCAGTACTTGAGTGCAATCTCAAAAAACAACAAAACGATCTGCTTGTTTTCAAGGCAAACCATTCAATAACACAGTAATCCAAGTCTATACCCCAACCAGTAATGCTGAAGAAGCTGAAGTTGAACGGTTCTATGCTGATTGACAAAACCTTCTAGAACTAACATCAAAAAAAGATGTCCTTTTCATTACAGGGGACTGGAATGCAAAAGTAAAAAGTCAAGAGATACCTGGAGTAACAGGCAAATTTGGCCTTGAAGTATGGAATGAAGCAGGGCAAAGGCTAATAGGGTTTTGCCAAGAGAACTCAATGGTCATAGCAAACACCCTCTTCCAACAAAACAAGAGACAACTCTACACATGGACATCACCAGATGGTCAATACCAAAATCAGACTGATTATATTCTTTGCAGCCAAAGATGGAGAAGCTCTATACAGTCAGTAAAAATAAGACTGAGAGCTGACTGTGGCTCAGTTCATGAACTCCTTATTGGCAAATTCAGACTTAAATTGAAGAAAGTAGGGGAAACCACTAGACCATTCAGATATGACCTAAATCAAAACCCTTATGATTATACAGTGCAAGTGACAAATAGATTCAAGAGATTAGATCTGATAGAGTCCCTAAAGAACTATGGACAGAGGTTCATGACATTGCAGGGCAGGGATCAAGACCATACCCAAGAAAAAGAAATGAAAAAAGGCAAAATGGTTGACTGAGGAGGCCTTACAAATATCTGAAAAAGGAAGAGAAGCTAAAGGCAAAGGAGCAAAGGAAAGAAATACCCATCTGAATGCAGAGTTCCAAAGAATAGCAAGGAGAGATAAGAAAGCCTTAGTATGTGATCAATGCAAAGAAATAGAGGAAAACAATAGAATGGGAAAGACTACAGATCTTTTCAAGAAAATTAGAGATACCAAGGGAACACCTGATGCAAAGATGGGCACAATAAAGGACAGAAACAGTATGGACCTAACAGAAGCAGAAGATATTAAGTAAAGGTAGCAAGAATACACAGAAGAACTATACAAGAAAGATCTTAATGACCTATATAACCACAATGGTGTGATCGCTCACCTAGAGCCAGACATCCTGGAATCTCACATCAAGTGGCCCTTAGGAAGCATCACTATAAACAAAGCTAGTGGAGGTGATGGAATTCCAGCTGAGCTATTGCAAGTCCTAAAAGATGATGCTGTTAAAATGCTGCACTCAATATGCCTGCAAATTTGGAAAACTCAGCAGTGGCCACAAGACTGGAAAAGGTCAGTTTTCATTCCAGTCCCAAAGAAAGGCAATGCCAAAGAATGCTCAAGCTACCCCACAATTGCACTCATCTCACATGCTAGCAAAGTAATGCTCAAAATTCTCCAAGCCAGGCTTCAGCAAACGTGAACCGTGAACTTCCAGATGTTCAAACTTCCTTAGAAAAGGAAGAAAAACCAGAGATTAAATTGTCTGCCAACATCCTTTGGATCACAGAAAAAGCAAGAGAGTTCCAGAAAAACATATACTTCTGCTTCATTGACTATGCCAAAGCCTCTGACTGTGTGGATCAGGAGAAACTGTGGAACTTCTTAAAGAGATGGGAATACCAGACCACTTTACCTGCCTCCTGAGAAATCTGTAGTAGGTCAAGAAACAACAGTTAGAACCGGACATGGAACAATGGACTGGTTCCAAATTGGAAAAGGAGTACGTCAAGGCTGTATATTGTCACCCTGCTTATTTAACTTCCATGCAGAGTACATCATGCAAAATGCTGGGCTGGATGAAGTACAAGCTGGAACCAAGACTGCGGGAGAAATATCAATAACCTCAGATATGCAGATGATACCACTCTAGTGGCAGAAAGCAAAGAGGAACTGAAGAGCCTCTTGATGAAAGTCAAAGAGGAGAGTGAAAAAGCTAGCTTAAAACTCAATATTCAAAAAACAAAGATCATGGCATCAAGTGTCATCACTTCATGGCAAATATATGGTGAAATAGTAGAAACAGTGACAGACTTTATTTTCTTGGGCTCCAAAATCACTGCAGGTGGTGACTGCAGCAATGAAATCAAAAGATGCCTGCTCCTTGGAAGAAGTTATGAGCAACCTAGACAGCATATTAAAAAGCAGAGACATTACTTTGCAACAAAGGTCATCTAGTCAAACCTATGGCTTTTCCAGTAGTTATGTATGGATGTGAGAGCTGGACCACAAACAAAGCTGAGCGCTGAAGAATTGGCGCTTTTAAACTGTGGTATTGGAGAAGACTCTTGAGAATCCCCTGGACTGCGGAGATCCAACCAGTCCATCCTAAAGGAAATCAGTCCTAAATATTCATTGGAAGGACTGATGCTGAAGCTGAAACTCCAATACTTTGACCGCCTGATGGGAAGAACTGACACATGTGAAAAGTCCCTGATGCTGGGAAAGATTGAAGGCAGGAGGAGAAGGGGACTACAGGATGAGATGGTTGGATGGCATCACCAACTCAGTGGTCATGAGTCTGAACAAGCTCCAGGAGTTGGTGATGGACTGGGAGGCCTGAGGTGCTACAGTCCATGGGATCGCAAAGAGTTGGATGAACTCTGGTACAAATCAGTGGTTATCAAGCACTGGCACAGCAAGCCTGAGTACTCAGTGAGGGAAAAATATTCTTTCACATTTGCCATATTTTTATAAATGAATCTCTTAGAACCCTAAACTGAGAAGCACCAAGAATTTGATGCTTTTCTACTGAACAAGACTTTTTGCTGTCTCTTGCATACACTTCAAACCAAGTGTAGATTAAGATAGCAGTTTTGAGGTGGGTTTCCATGACAACCAATTAGTAGTTAAAAATTCTCATAAATTAGCCCAGAGACTTTGAGGATGATGATTAATAGAGCAGAAATAGATCTGTTTTGAATAACCTTTGCTTCAACATAGACTAGGTTTTATATTTTTTAGAATTTTTGCCATAACATCTTATGATCTTTTAAACCTTCATTTTCTAAATTAATGGTTCAGGGGCCTGTGTTCCTGTTACTCTAGAGCCAATAGCCTCTTATCCCTCCCAGTATTCTTTACTAGTAACTCGTTTTCACTGTGTCCTCTGAAGTCCTCTGACTTCTATTAGGGTTCCCAGTGAAGGCTGGGTGGGCATCTGGCCCCATTTCACACGCACAGCCCTGGACACCACAGCAGCATCCCCCACTTCTTGGTTAGGAGAAAATGTGCTGACTGTCACCCCAGTGTTTGCATTTTCCTTTAAGCTTTACAAGTTAAATCTAAAACCCATCATCTATCCAATATGCAGGAAAAGGTCACCATGCCAATCCGCACACCCTTCACCCTGCCCTGAACCTAGGACACTTCCTTTCTGGGACATACAGAACCCTCACAGCCTATGCCTGACTCCCTTGTGAGGGAGTCTATCCCTGTTTCAGGTTGAGTGCACATCCCTTTGTTTCCCTAAGCACCTGTGTGCACCATGACCCCAGTGTTCAGACCTCCTTTTCTCTCCTTGATCTGGCTTTACCAAGTTCTATAATGGCTCCTGTCACAGACAGAAAAGAAAACCTTGATATAGACAGCGGTGTGACCATATCTAACAAAATAGTAAATGGGTCCCTAATGTCTCCCAGGAAGTCTGCTCACAGCACTAAATTAACCATTTTGCAAGAACTTAACACCATGTAGTTTAAAATTCTCAGTCAACAGCTACCATAGTTCATGCCACTCACTTGGCTGTGTCCACGACTTTGACATCCTCTAAGGATAAAGATGGCAGGACGCATCTGGACACACACTCTCCACATAAAAAATGTACCATTTAGGGCTGCTGAACTGGATTCATTCATTTCAGGAAAGCCTGTTGACTTCGTACTGTGCGTGAGGCCCTGCTAGGCCTTATTCTAGACATCTGAAAACCGAACCGGGCCATTTCCCGGGGAGCTTCCGTCCCTGCAGGGTAACTGCCCGCTGTTCAGCGACTAGACTGGGCCATCGAAAACCGCCCCAGTATTAAAGCACCCAGGTGTGATTCAACAGTCATACATCATTGGGTTTTGTTACGATTGGCTAAACAAAATCTGTGAGTACAATTCATATCAAAAAGTTTTGTGCTACTTATTCTTAAACCACTGTAACATCCATTTCAGAAGGTATAAATTAAAAGAAACCATAAAACCCTGGGGTGGGGGGGGAAGTATGGGTTCTTAATGAAAACCTTCCTTTTTCTTGCTCCAAGTTAAATGCCAGAGTTTCGAATAATGTCTATTAGGAAGAAATCTAAACCTAGCTTATTCTGATTTTTATCCTATATTTTCCCTGGGCAATTTCTAATTCTGTGCTAAATACTCCTATTAGTTCCTGCAGTCCTGAAGAAGTTTGGTTCCATGTGTAGCTAATGGAGAGCACAGCTGAAATGCCCTATAGACCAAGATTGAGGGGCAGGTTAAAAAAAGAGGTTTTCCATACAGTACTAATCTGTTAAGACACCACAGGATGTCTTGGGGTATGTATCTATGTGCTGTCCAATTACTGCCAACCATCAGAGGTTTTAGGAAGTCTAATGAATGTGACCATGGGAAATGTCTCCCCAGCCAAAGGAGGATTCAGCAGAAGGCCCTCCCAAATGTTAGGGTTCCTGGACCACTTATTAACAAGACAAAGAGGAGTATGTGCCCTTAGAACTAAATTGCTTGTACATAAGAAGATGAGTCAAAAAACACAAATGCCAATATACTTGAAATGCATGACACCAGTAAGTCTCTTCACACAGCTGTCCATGAGAAGTGAACCATGGTGTCCTGATGGACAGAGTCACAAAGAACCAGAAGCCAAATCTTCACAGGTGTGCTGGTTTTGTACTCTACTCTATAATCAAAAATAACACAGAATAGGACATCAAAAACAGAATGTGGAAAGGGACGATATTAAAGTCTCTACAAATACTGAAAAAAGATGTTTTGGGCCTGATGAAGGTGAAGGTGACTATGACAATACAGATGTCAGCAGGGGCAGGTGGGGGACGATCACAGGTGGCGAGGCTGGAGCTGTGGAAACACACAGATTTGACACTATCCGATGACTTCTGTGGCATAGCCTGCTCCAGCTACAGACGCCTCAAGCCCTTGGCTCAACTGTGTGTCAGAGTTAGTTTTTTAATACTTGATGAGGTGCTTGGGAATTAAAAAGACATGTTAGCACAGCCTCCTCCTTGCTCACACACACAATTTGTCACTCGATGTACACTCGCTGGGACTAGAATTTCCCTGCCTGGGAAACATAATCATCTTGAGGCTTTCTACCTGCCAAACCCAGCACAGGGCTTTTTACAACCTAGTGCTGGCACTTACCAACTGAACTAGTGTCTGTGACTCGTGTTTCTCCCTTATTCATCTGTGAGCTCCTGTGGACAGCGACTATGGTGTTTCCTTATCCCCGGGCACTTCACACGATGCCTGGAGCTCAGGAAACATCTGTGGGATGAGCCAGATCCCTCCCTCCTGCCCTCTCGGTATTCCCCACCCATCGTCCCCATCTTGCTATACCTTTCCCAAGGTTTCTTGGCAAAAACTTCTGCTCCACCAACTGTTTTAGCTCCTCTGAGAATTATTAACATCCCAGTCTCTTATTTTCTAATTATCTGCAAAGAAATGAGGCTTAAATATAGGAGTACCAAGTTCTCCTTCGTTAAATATTATAGTTAATGTGATATATTAAAATTATAAAATATTATAGTTAATATTATAGTTAAATATCAATGAGTCAACTCTTTGCATGAGGTGGCCAAAGTATTGGAGTTTCAGCTTCAGCATCAGTCCTTCCAATGAACACCCAGGACTGATCTCCTTTTACTTAGCATTTAAATGGCTGCTTTAAAAATCTTATTTGGGTTTTTAGGGAGATGATACAAAAAGATCTTTTATCCAATTGTCTATCATTTGGGCATTTGACCCAAATCACCTGATCCCCAGTACACTATCATTTCTAAAATAATCTGCTCTAGAGGATATAAAATAAAAGTAAAATAAAAATTAAAAATTTCAAAATAAAAATTTCAACTTATAATTGACCATCTCAAGCACCTGAATACATTTTTAACTGCTTTTTTCTTTGAAAACACCATTTGAGGGAGAAATTCTTACGTACCAGTGATGGTATGTTCCATTTATTTTGAGAGCTCTTATGTACAAATGGGGCAAGGTTTTTGCAATAAGCCCAAGAATTAGAAGAGATTCACTTGTCCTACTGCAGAACCTGGGGTTATCACCTCTTCATGCAAGATTCAGCAGCCCATGCAAAATCAAAAATTAATTTCCACAAGCCTATTATTTTTTCTGTAACTATACACAATTGTCCAACATACACCTGACTTTCTCATTTTGACCCTTATAAACTTGTTACTATATTATCTGAACATTTCATTCTTTTTATTCCCCCTGAAATAAGAGAAAATCTCCTTTGCCACAATTTTAAGTATGATTGAGAAGGGTTCACCTTTCCATTTTCAAGTGGCTTGATAATAGGAAATCATCAAAACAACATATATCTTTGGAGACAGCACGTGATTTATTGTGCTGATTACCATTTATCCTGCCTATCCATGGGTGAACAAGGAAGATGAACTTTTAGAACAGAATAAGACTTTTCCACAGATAAATGGTTTAACTCTAGCACAATTACATATTTCCCCTAGAGAGGAAAAATATACCCTATTTACATTGACAGTCTCTCCTTTTTGTCCCCCACATAATTTTTACCCCCAATACAACAATACTTTTAGTAATCACAAGCCACTTATCTATCAATTTAAACCATCAAAAAAAACCTAATTTTAGCAAGAGAGGTCTTTACATAAAAACCTGTTCTACAATTTTGTAAGGGCAGAGGCTGTAAGCACTTACTCAGAGGCTAAATGTTTTATACACAATATGATTACACCAAAAGATTACACCCCTTTACAAAGTCATCATCAGATAGGTGGGTCTGGTGAGAAAGCCCTGATCTGGGAGAAAAAGGAACAAACAATTACAAGGACGTTTACTGCAGCTCAGACAGTAAAGAAACTGCCTGCAAAGCAGGAAACCCAGGTTCGATCCCTGGGTCGGGAAGATCCCTGGAGAAGGGAATGGCAATGCATTCCAGTACTCCTGCCTGGAGAATCCCATGGATGGAGGAGCCTGGCAGGCTACAGTCCATGGAGTCACAAAGAGTTGGACACAACTGAGTGACTAACACTACCACTACTTCTTACTTTGCTAGGCACTAAGCTAAGAGTTTTATGTGTCCTATAATCTGATTCTGACCAAACAGGCAAAGATGTGAGTATAAGCAACAAAGGAGCTGGAACTCAAAAATCAAGATGATCAGACATTTTCTCTACATCATCCCCAACACTTTAGGGTTCACTAAAAGCTCCAATGGCTGTGGAGAATCATCTCCCTGAGTTTCCTTAACTGTTCTCTCTCGGTTCACTCTTGCTCTATGACTCCATGTAATGCTGAATGCTGGTAGTAATGATCCTGAGTCATTAAGATGAAACCATTACCCGGATCCATGGAAGAATGTAAGCAAATACTATTATGCATGTTCTATACAAGTTAAAAAACCTCTTTTTAGATTTAAACGAATAAGCTTCATTTAGCTAGAAAATGAATCTTTGTGGATTAGCTCATTCCTTCATATAATGGCAATAAAATGAATTATGATTTCCACTTCCTCCACTATAAACAGAAAGGAGGGAGGAAAACTTTTATTATATGGCTTCATTATTTTCCTGTAATAGAAATTTCCATTTAACATGCATAACAAAATACACACTTATAGAGAAAGATTCCAAACTGAATTTATTTTTAAATCTTTCATCAAAACTATTTTTGCACTATTTAAAACTTTGCTCCTCTCCATCCATTCAAATGTTTACTAAATAACTCTGAGACACTGTGAAGGGCATATCTCCATCCATTCAAATGTTTACTAAATAACTCTGAGACACTGTGAAGGGTATATCAAGACGAGTAAGAATAACTAGCATACTACATANTGCTCCTCTCCATCCATTCAAATGTTTACTAAATAACTCTGAGACACTGTGAAGGGCATATCTCCATCCATTCAAATGTTTACTAAATAACTCTGAGACACTGTGAAGGGTATATCAAGACGAGTAAGAATAACTAGCATACTACATACATATATCAAATCTTAAGGAGAGGGAGAGTAGCCAGAGGATCATGTTTCAAATGAAATGAATGCTTATAAACTGTTTCATATTCTGTTTTTGTGAAAGGAAACTGAAAACATATGCAGATTACACACTGATTTCACCAAAATATTGTATCCACCCAACAATTAAAATCGAAGGATTGACTCTTCACAGCTCATTAAGCAGACATGTTCATTTATATTCCAAGGTTGTTTCTTACCATAAGGTTCCAAAAGCTCCAGCAGTTTTATGCAATGTGCTTACAGAGTTGCATAATTTTATGCTGACAAGACAGTGGATCAAAACTCAGAAGTAATATAGTGCATGCACAACTAGAAAATGCTGGGCTTCTATGGCTAGGCTTTCTTCTTCAAAATGGGGGTCACTTGTCACAAGGAGACATGCCTTAGAACATGTTCTCCATGAACTTCAAACTTGAGCCAAGAGGAGGACTACAGGCCACAGTAGCTGATTCATTACAACAGTAGTTACACAGGTGAGATTCTTTTTTTGATACAATGATTATCTGGAGTTTCAATCATTTATTTTAAATGCCCAATTAGTATTTAACTCTCCTTTGTACTTTTTCATGTTTATTGCAATAAAAAGAAGATCATATGCAGTTATTATTTTTCAACTGCTGCCTCATGAAAACTAATGATTTCAAGCCAGTAGCAGAAACCTTTAAATAGCTTTAATGCTCAGGCACAAAGGTCTAGGAAACATGGGATCACCTATTAAAGTAGTGATTTACCCAAAGATCTGTGACAACCTACCACATTTTGATGAAATTTACTATAGGGCCTCCCTGGTGGTTCAGTCAGTAAAGAATGTGCCCACAGTGTGGGGGACCCGGGTTCAATCCCTAGGTCGGGAAGATCCCCTGGAGATGGGAATGGCAACCCACTCTAGTACTCTCGCCTGGAGAATTCCATGGACAGAGGAGCCTGGCGGGATCTCAAAAGAGTCAGACATGATTGCAACTAGCACTATGGATTCAATGACCCTCTAAAATGCAAAGACCCTTCATATTTACAAAGATTATTATTTCTTTAGATCAAGGGTCCATAAAGTGAAGCTATGGCAAAATATTTAGAATATTCCCAGTGATAAAGGGATTATTAATTCCATACTGATTTTCATATCGATTTTCAAAGCCAGTTCCCATAGAAGCAGATTCTTGATTCCAAATCATAAAGACCTATTCCAACTTTTAACACCTTTTTATGTCAAAGTATTAAATATAGTAATGTTGAGGGATTGCTTCCAAGTGATATTATTAATTGTTCATCCACTGATGAAGCATCCATGCTTCGTGGAAGCATGGATTCCATTTCATGCTAATGGAAGCCATTAGCATTACCAAAGTAGGTAAGCCAACTGGCTAAACTGAACAAAAGTAGAAATGGTGGCAGATACAGCCAAAAACTTAAGGTCTCACTTCTCTGATTAATATGTAGTCACCACTATATGCTGAGCAGTATGGTATTTTTGCCAAAATGAATTAGCATTTTCCTACTGAACTTTTATAACTGAGGGGAACTATGGTTAAAAGTGTCAGGCTTTGGAGTTTGAAAGAAGGGAGATTAAACCTGGTTCATCCCTTCCTAGTCATGTGATACTGGGCAACTTAATTACTTAAACTCACTTGAGCTTCACATTCCTTATCTGTAGAATCAGGTTAATCCTTTATCATAGAGCTATTACTTTTTATAATGAAATGAAATATAACAGTTCTTCAAAAGCACTTTGTGCCTTGGAACTGAAGATAATCATAAATGGAAAGGAAATGTTCATGCTGGTCCTAAAGACCAATGAGGTAATGTCTATTTAAAACAGTAAATGGGATTCTCAAGGAAGTAAGTTTATCTGACTCATCTTGTATCCTTGGGAGCTAGTAATAGCTTAAAACTTAATATAGAATATATTATTGTTTAATGATGTAAATTATGATATCCATAACATATTCATGCCATACCCATTACCACACCCTATTCCCTTTACTTCCAAAATAGCAATTCTGTTCCCTTCTCTTCATTTCTGTCACCAGCCCCCTCCTCTGTGCTCCAGGCAGCCTTCTCTGATTCCTACAGTCCTCACCTGAGAAGGCAGCATGTGCCCTGGCTTTCTGCCAGTCTTATGATTTTCCTTTGCAAGGAGAATGATCTTTCAAACTGTCACTGGATCTTAACACCCTTCAAAGACCCCCATTATTACAGAATGAGTAGAGTCCCTACAAAGTTCTGCAAAGATTCCCAGGATCTGACTTCGACCAGCAATCTCAATTTTGTCTTATTTCAAACCACGTTCCCTGTATCTCATCATCCCCTTTCCAGCCACACCAGATTTCTTTCAATCTCTCTTCCTTTGCTATTGCCTGCAGTGTTCCGCCTGCCAACCTTCAGTTCAGATCTAGGTATCTCC